TGTGAATTTCGTTACATATTTGTGGCAAGTAATCAGTTTTGAGATGTGTTAATATTCCTCTAAGGAATAATTGTTACTTTTCCTTCATCTTCTTCTTCTTGTATTCCTCTGATAGGCAGCCTGTCGACAAAACATTTGGTTCCTGTCGTCTTTATTATCGCTAATTTAGGCATCAAACATTATACCATGGGGGAAACAATTATGTGTGCTCGAACAAAACTTTAAGAAAGATACATGGTGCACATAGTGTTTTAAAAGTTGAAAATATTTTAAGTTTCATAGCGGACTGTGTGAAATAAGGGAAGTTTCAAGCATCGAAGGTGAACACTTATTTGGAACAGATGCTTCTGAGCTTGTAGCAAATTCAAATGAGTAACGTATGTAGTTCATTTAAAGCTTTGCAAGGCTAAAATGTTCGCATACATATCAGCTCAGTTACATTGACTTGAACACAAAATATCCAGGACTAAACTCACAAATCCGACGATATGGGCATACAAAATTCAAATGAGTATGGATCTCAGTACGGAATTTGAGGGAACATCCATATCTGAGCAATTCTTAAATTTAAAGAATAAAAATGAATGCAATATTGGTTGGGAAAACTGGTACGACTTTTCTAAAGCTCGTATTTTTAATTTGCACTTAAGGGAACCCACCCATTCTCTATTTAAGAATCAATTGACATAATTATACCCTACACAACTATGTTGTCAGGGTATTATAGCTTTGTGTGGCCCGAAGAGTTTGTAACGCCGCGAAATATTGGTCCTAGACCCACCTTTAGGTATACCGATCGTCATATCTCGACTAGCTGAGTCGATCTAGACATGTGTGTCCGTCCGTCCGTCTGTCCATTATAATTTGTAAACAGTTATGGACCAATCTTCACGAAATTTTGCATGTAGGATGGGTTCTGGCCAATGAAGACCCCTATTGTTTTTGGTAAAGATCGGTTAATATTAGGGGATAAAATGGACCAAATACTAATTTTTTTAGATGACGATCACATAATAATTTTGGGATGAAGTGGACTGAAAACTTATCTTTTTTTCTGTGTTTTCTCGAGTCGATCTATAGGTCAGAAATTTAGATTTTTGTGGAAATTATGTATATATATATGTATATCATATCCCCGTCCGACTATACTGCTCCGCCTACTGGTTTTCTTTTGCAATGTTTATTTTTTATTCGATTTTTTCCTGACCATTTGAATGAGTTTTTAAGTTGAGTTTTTCTCTTTCGAGTCGAGCTTAATGATCGAAGTTTTGCAATGAAAAGTTTTTGTTAACTAAAGAAAAATCCTTCTTTTCGACGGCGGGAATGCTTTTAGATGATGATCACATAATAAGTTTGGGATGAAGTGGCCCGAAAACTTATTTTTTTTCTGTGTTTTCTCGAGTCGATCTATAGATCAGAAAGTTAGATTTTTGTGGAAATTATATATATATATATATATAACATATCCACGTCCGACTATACTGCTCCGCCTACTGGTTTTCTTTTGTATTTGTTTATATATTTTTTTTATTTGATTTTTTCCTGACCATTTGAATGAGTTTTTAAGTTGAGTTTTTCTCTTTCGAGTCGAGCTTAATGATCGAAGTTTTGCAATGAAAAGTTTCTGTTAACTAAAGAAAAATTCTTCTTTTTGACGGCGGGAATGCTTTTCGACCACTGGAACGCCCGAATTATTAACATCGCACAACAATTAACAAATTGGCGGAACTATGAAATTTAAGTTTTGGAAAATTTCCCATTTTTGACTACTAACGAAGTTAGAAATAATTCTTGACTGATTACATTTATACAGAATAGCGTATTAAAATGTGGAACGGATTAAAATATTATTTTTTGAGTTATCGTGCCCGTCATTTCGAGAAAAACGCGTTAAAAGTTTGAGAAGCAATCTTGCCTTTACTTGATGCTAACACTTGAAATTTGAAAGAGTCATCCTTGAATTAGTGTAGGTTCGAATTAAATAATAAAAACACATAATTATTTTATTTATTTATTTATTTTTTTTTTTTTTTTTGAAAAGAATTACTCCTTCACTAATAATTTTAACATCTCGTAAATCCTTTCTTCATTTAATCCTTCTTTATATTTTTATATACTCATACTTATTTAACTCCATGAAAAGTGTTGCTAAATAAATTTTTATCGCCAGCCAATATTAATTTAATTGACATTTTTATAGACATTTGACAGTCCCAAAATCCCATTATTACCCTCAAAATTCATTGTCAAGTTCAGTAGAAAATAATAGAAATAAACCAACATTTTTATTGTCAAATTTTATGTTAATGTTTACATCGATATGATATGTCAAATATGTGTCATTTGAAGAGGATGGAGTAATCGATTTAATCCATTAATTGAACATCGCAATTTGGCGGTGGTGGTGGCAGTTTTTTTCTTTATGTCTTGTCTCGTTTCTTCTTATTAACTTTATTATCGAAATAATTTGGAAAACACATGTGCGAATTTTGTAACACCAATGCAGTGGTTTGAAATAGCTCATACACATACAATGGAATGAAAAACTAGCCACAATAGAGTGATGGTAAATCGGCGGTTGTTAGCAACAGAAACAGTAGTCAAATAAACAGTTGCAAAAATGAGGGGAAAATGAGCGCAAATAGTGAGAGAAGTAGGATATTAGTTGTGATATTAATGAATTGTTTACATTTTTGGAAAAAATATTGACTTTCTTATGATTATAAGAATTTTTACATGTATTTATAGCGAGATACGTCTACAATATGGAAAAATGAACTATGAATGAAATTATGGAAATATTTATTAGAATATGTTTCTGTGTTTATTTTCAATAAATATTTGCCAGCATCTTAAAATATGTATAAATTTCATATTCCCTCAAACAACAAATATTCCCAAGAAATCATTTGCTAAATTAATATAATTTCTCTCCTTTGATAGACAAATCTTGGCCAACTTCCTTTGCCACAATAAAGCCAAGAAACATTAATCACATCTACAAATTCCCATAACCGGAAATGTTTAGCAATGTAAGATATGCGTTAAATCAATTGACAAAGAACATGGTTTCATTTCTGCAATCACGATGTTGTATTTCATCCTAACTCCTCGCAGAAATCATTCTTACATTTCTGTATGCAACGATTTATCACTGTTATCTACGCAGATGAATTTCATTGATTTCCCCCTCAGTTTGGCGAGACAAGAATCTGCGTTACAACAAATCTATACCCCCATTTTCCTTCACCCTACCCAATGCCAAAGGAAATAAACCATTCATAGACGCGGAAAAACAAATATCTGTGTTATACCCATACGTAGACGGACGACCTACCGACTATTGAAAATTCTACTTACTGTCTTTTGAAGGCCGCCATCAGCCATCTGTGGATGAGTTGTTGTTCTAGATGGGGTTTGTCTATGGGTTGTTTGTTGCATCTGTCAACGTGCAACGACATTCTTTGCATAGACATCGACGTCGATGACGACAGCTATGGCTTTGACTATGAATCAATAGCATTTGAAATGTATGGCAATGATGATGATGGTGATGTTGAGATGACATCTTACCTCAACCATTGATGCCACTGATGTTGCTGCAGTTGCTGTTGTGTTGGTGACAATAATAGCTTTGTATTTGTCATGTCAACTACAAACATTGTACGTAGATCCACAGCTACTAAACAAGTAAATATTGAAATCTCTCAACTCAATGCTTGGCTGAAGCTGATAGATAGATGATGGTCTTTAAAGGAGATGGTTCTCCATCTCACACACTCTGGTGTATTCAATCAATGAGCTTTTTTGTGTTACTTAGAGAATTCAATGAAAACCTCACCAGCATTACCATCATCGTTACAATACTCGAATGCTCCTTAGAACCAATATCAATATCCTCTTTTATTTCATCATGTTGTGTTGTGGGCTTTACCAATGGCTTACGGTGTTATAGAAGGAATCTATTATCGCCCTTTATTTGGGTTGTGTCGTCAATAGAATGGGATATAATATTTTGAATACCCTACAATACACAGAGAGCAGAACTGATAAATGCTGAAACATCAGTCCACAGCTCTCGTATTTTCTTTATATATTGAATATATTAACACATAATATACACATTTTTAATATTTGTAGCTATTTTAGGTGGGTCTTATATACAAAAATTATGTAGTGCTTTAATAGAAAGCCGAGCCATCTCTAATATGTACAAAAAAATCAATATCAACACCTTAAATATTGCAAATAAACAATTTATACCTTCGTCATCATATAAACAACTCCTTCTCAATTTCCCCTTCCTTACCTCCCCCTCCAATATTGAAAATGCAAACTTGCCAGCAGTCATGCCTCAATGCCTTGTATTTCTTTTATTTCATCTTCTAATTCCTGCAATAATCCCTATTTTGTGATTTGTAGATTTCTTGTTATGGTCGTTCCGAAATGGTTTATGGTGCTAATATTGTTGTTTTTCTTGCTGCAGCTATTATTGTTGTTGTTTTCACTCGGATGCTTTATTTGTTTTTCATCAGAAATCTTTGAGATTCTTGTTAAGTGCTTCTGGTTTCCACAACTACTTGGCAGAACAAAAATGTCTAGTGTCGATGGTGATGAAGATGATGCCATAGACGGTTCCTGGAAATTCCCAAACAAGAATGCAATCCAAAATAGTTTCAAGCACTTGCTAGCTCTCACACTTTGTTTTTCTTTTCTTCACATTTTTTTTTTTATTTTGGTTTAACAAATATTGATTTAGTTCAGCACACTTCTCGTCATCACTACCAATCAGCAGCCTTACGAATTCTGAAAATTCTTAAAGGTGTTTTTTTTAATTCACAGCAAATTGTATGGGGGGGAGTTATTTAGTCATGGCAAAGTGTTAAAATCTCTTCCCACCTCTTTACCCGAATATAATGTGTTAATTCATTTATTTAATTGTTAATTTAATTTTCTGAAGTGATATTTCTTTATTAAATATTTTTTTGTTTTCTTTACAGAAATGGGCCTGCGTTACTGTGAATCACCATCGGTGGGCACTTGTTGCACACACAGCATGGAAACTAAAATGGCCATGCAGTCACGTCTACAATTGGAGAAACATTCCAAAGAACAAATCCTAAAGATGTCAAAAACGCTAAGTGATAAAGCGCAAAAATTTAATGGTGAGTATTGATTCGATTGATTTTTGTAGTTTAATTAAAAAAAAATAATTTTATATAGAAAATGTGACCCAACTTTTTAGCGACTTTGGTGCACCATTTACATGAAATCGGACGAAATATATATATATACGAGCTATATCTAAATCTGGACCGATTTTCTCGTAACTTGGCAGACATCACTCTAGGCTTAATTCAATACGTTACGCCAAATTTCGTGCAAATCGAAAGATATATAGGGACTTTGGGGCACCATTGACATGAAATCGGACGAAACTATATATGGGAGCTATATCTAAATCTGGACCGATTTTCTCGAAACATGGTAGGCATTATTCCAGACCTAAATGATTAGGCTGTAACAAATTCCGTGCAAATCGAAAGATATATAGGGACCGTTTACATTAAATCGGTTAAATATATATATGGGAGCTATATCTAAATCTGAACCGATTTTTCCCAATTTCAATAGGGTTCGTCCTTGGGCCGAATAAGTGACCTATGCCAAATTTCATCCAATTCGGATCATAAATGCGACCTGTACTTTGTTTACAATTTAACATGGACAGACAGACAGACGGACGGGCGGACATGCATAAATCGACTTAGAAAGTGATTCTATGCATATTCTCAAAAGGAACCATGTGTCCATCTCGTTTCCTTTTGCCTGTTACAAACATATGCACAAAGACATAATACCCTGTACCACAGTGTGGTGAAGGGTATAAAAAGCGTGACAGATTTTTTTCTTTGTGGAACAATCGACTATTTTCTTATAGAGCCGTTTCTTTGGAAAACATGGCCTGAAGCTTTTTTGACATATATGTATATATATATGGACTACTACTCAATATTTTTATAAAACAAATTGTCTTGAACTCTCATATTTGTTTAGAGGCCCGAAAGAATTTTCTACAAATATTAGTTGAGTCCTATATTTTATTTTCCTATAGAAAAAATAGCTTAAGTCCAAATAAATATTTTCCTATAGAAAAAAATGGCCTGAGACGTTACAATTTTTTTCATAGAAAAGATCAAAAGTCGGACGGGTTTCACTATATAATACCCTCCACCACTTTGGGTACATACAAGGGATGATAATATGTACAATATCCTGTAGATAGAACATACCATTCTGAAATCTATGAAAAATTTCATGCAGGCTTTTTGGTGTATACTTTGTATGAAATCGAGAAATGGAGAAATATGTATGGAAGCTATCAAACAGGGCGGAATTCAGTACGCTGTGCAAAATTTTGCCACAATCGGACAAAATATTAAAAAAAATCTTACGAAAATATATATGGATGCTATATGTAAATCTGACCGATTTCTCCAATTTCATTTTCTGATGCCTCATTATTTTTTAGAGAAAAAATGTTTCATTTATGTTTGCTTTTTTAACAATGTTCTGGCGAAATATTCTTATTATAGAAAATTTTTGACTAATATCTAGATTTTTTTATTTTACAGTTGTAAATCTTCAATTCTATAATACCGATGCCAGAAGTCTTAAACGTATTATTTTCTTAGCACTCAAAGAGTAGAGTCTGTTCGTCCTGACAGAATTATACACATCTTCCATATTTGTAATTCAATTTGCAAAAATAAGAAATAAAAATTTTATTTCTGAAAAAAAAAAATGATTATACAGAACCGAATTGCCAGAGGCTATGATCTAATAAGTAGGATAACAAGAAATGATTAAAATGAACCTGACTCATGGCCTCTTTAAAATTAACTTGAAACTTAGATGCCGAAATAAAAAATGCGACATTTGCAATTTTCTGTCATATGTTTTAAACTTCTAAAAATATAACTTAATTAAAAATCGAATAATTTATTATCGAAAACAAAATGCCAACAATTTGTCACTTCAAAGATGTGTGGGGTCATTTCAAAAATTCATCATTGCATAATCCCAAATTTATTTGGAAAAATAAATTATAATTCATTTCTTTCCTATCAAAAATATAAATTCCAATAATTGTTGATTATGTACGCGTATAAATCATAAAAAACATGACATTTTCCACCCTAGTTTTCAAAAACAAAAATATTTTGTTTCCAATAAATCTGGTTTTGAATTTCAATTGTTAAATCTAAACATAAACCACAGTAACAAATACACCACCACCAACAACAATCGCACATAAATCACTTCCTAAATACGTTTGTTTATAATTAGAATAAATTTTTGACTTCCAGCAGTGTGGTACTTGAAAAAGGTACAACCCACCAACCAACAGACTCCAAAACATTGTTGAAATTAAAAGAAAAAAAAAATACAAAACACCAAAACTGACAAAAGCAACACAAAATTATAGCCGAAAATTGTTTAACACCCACTTGAGAGTTTGAACAGCAGTAGGCAAGCAGACAGACAGTCAGTCAGTCAGCCAACCATGCAGAAAGGCGAAGCATCTGTACAAAATCCAAACCACACAACAATTCAACACAGCACTACACCGCCACCATATTTTCAAGTAGCGTTTTGGAATCTCCTGAAAGAGGTTGCAACCTCAATATTTCTTTTGTCGTCGTCGATTTTTTGTTATTTTTTGTGAATGAAAATTAAAAAATTGCCCTGGGTTAGAGGCGTCATTTAATGTTACATGTCATTTGGCACCCGGGTTTTTCTTCCATTCATTCATGGCGCTTGACAGCAACTTGTAATTGTATGTTTTTTAACTCAAATTAAATACATTATTTTGAAAAAAAAAATACAAGTAGCCTGACTTAGACAAATAACATCAAGTCTGCATTTTTTGAGAGCCAAATGATGACTAGATTTGAAATTGAAATATGACAAGTCAGACGATTGGGGTAGTAATTATAGAACCTGCAAGAGGCATCTATTTGACATTAGAAGGCTGGATTCAAGTGCCACAGCATTTGTTGCGCATGCGGGCTTCTGTTTAATTTTATATTTTTCTATATATTTAACTCAAACCAACTAATGTTGATCATGATGACTCATATAAAATTTAAATTACTTGTTAATCTCAAGTGATTAGAAAGGAAATGAAGTTAATCAGTCATGTCTTCCATAATAACTATAAAATTTCTCTATAAAGAACCGTATTGGAGCTATGGACAACGATAGGACAATTCGATACTCTGAAAAGAGATGACCCAATTACTTAACTGAAAAATATCCAGTGTCGGAAACTGTTACAAATTTCAAGCCTCAGAATGTTATGATTTTTATACGCTTCACCACACAGGGTAATATGTCTTTGTGCATATGTTTGTAACATGCTAAAGGAAACGAGATAGACACATAGATCCTTTTGAGAATATGCATAGAATCACTTTCTGAGACAATTGATGCAGGTCCGTTCCTCTGTCTGTCCGTCTCTTGGTGTTAAATTATACAGGTCGTATTTATAATACGATTTCGATGAGACTTGGTACAACTTATTTAGTTGGCCCAAGAACGAACCCTATTGGAATTGGTGAAAATCGGTTCAGGTTTAGATATATCTCCTATATATATTTTCATCTGATTTTATTTCGATTTGCACGAAATTTTGCATAGCGTACTAACTTGAGTCTAGAATGATGAGGGCTAAGTTTCGTAAAAATCGGTTTAGATTTAGATATAGCTCCCATATATATTATCGTCCGATTTTAGCCCAAAGCCCCTATATTTCTTTCGATTTCCACGAAATTTTGCATAGCGTACTGACTTGAGTTTAGAATGATGTGTGTAAGTTTCGTGAAAATCAGTTCTGATTTAAATATAGCTTCCATATATATTTCGTTAGATTTTAACTAAATGACGCACCAAATCCCATATATTTTTTCGATTTGCACGAAATTCGGCATAGCGTACTGAATTGAGTCTAGAATGATGTATGCTAAGTTTCGTAAAAATCTGTTAAGATTCTATCTATATCCTTATACGAGTATGGTGATTAGCATCCCAAATACAAATTTTCTGTCAGGATGTTTTTTATCCATTGACTTAAATACCACGATACACAGATTTATATATCATGCTAGGACCTTTAACATCCAGAAAGTAGCCCAGGACATTGTATGAAAAATTACTAATTACAGCCAAATTGGTTGGAAAAGTTGATGAGGGCCCTCAAAATACTATAAAAAGGACAGTACCTATGTGTGGAAGAAGGTATTATGTTTAATAGTATGTATTTAATACTACTGAACATTTTCTTCGGAGAAGACTTTAAGTCTCCAATAATCCAAAATCACAACCACAGCCACATTGGATCGAAAATTCGACAAAAACTTTCAAAATATCGCATAATGGTACATAAACTGGGATATCACCATTTCCTCTGAAAGCCCGAAATTACTAATTATAGCCACATCCATTGAAAGATGTGGTCAGAACCTTCAAAAAATCCAAAAATTTAACGTAGCTTTTCTATGGTGGTATGTCAAAACATGGATCTGTATTGAACATTTTTGCGGGAAATATTTTAGCCTCAAAGAATCCTGCTTTAAAAAAGCAAAAAAATGGAGCGGCATACTATTATAAAATGTAGACCCGAATTTTTTTCTCTGTAAGTCTAAAATGACTTATTATACCAATATAGGAAAATGCGGTAATGTCCTCCAAAATATCGAAAATAGGACTTCTACTCAACATTTTCTCAAAAAAAATCGAAATGCTAAAAATACTTCCAAATAATACAACATTGATCAGTATCGTTATATGGAGACTATTCCATATACCCTGTTCTCCACTGAAAGTTATAAATTATATAGATATTGGTTGCAAAATGTGGTCAAGACATTCAAAATACCGAAAATAGGTCAGAACCATTATATGGAGGATATGCCATAACATAGACCTTTGCTAAAAATGTTCTGCAAGAAAATCTCTTACGCACGAAGAATGCAAAATACCAAATCAAAATCGTTTATACGACATCTATTTTAAATGACATATCTATTTTAACTACGGTTTCCGGAAGTTCGGAAAAAAGTTTTAACTTCTATCGCTTATAACGACTACTGCATATAGCGAATAATTTCGCCGGTACCTTGACCGTCATTATAAACGATTAAATGGGATCTCCGATGAATATTTTTTTTGTTGCAGACATAAAAATATTTCTCAATACCAGGAGCAATTTTTGTCTTTACCAAAAATAGTTTGTATCCCAATTCATGCAATTTTGTCATTCAATTCTATTAAATTGATCATGGGTTGAGTTAATACCTCAATTAGTGTCCAACATCATCTTTACTTGACATGGCTCAATAAAAAGTCTAAATTGGTTAAGGAAATTAAGAAAAATGCAACTATTATGTCACATTATAAAACATATTCGGTGGTGAATGTAGACTGCCTCTTATTATTGTGCTACAATTTTTTAATTTTTTCGTAATTTTTTTAAATCCACGAGCTTTTTTGACGGAACTCATATCTTTTCCAAAAATATTTAAATAATTTATTTTTTTTTATTTTCAGAAAATTTTCGCAAACTATTACAAGAATCGAAAACCGAATTCAATAATATGTTTACACGAACCTACGGTGTAATATATCAAAAGAATGCCTATGTCTTTTCGGATTTGTTCAGTGAATTGGAAAACTATTATAATCGTGGGCGAAGCGATCTCATAAATGTAATGGATACCTTTTTCAGTACCCTGTATCAGAAAATGTTTCAAGTTCTCAATGTCCAGTATACGTTTGATGAACAGTAAGTATAAAATAAAAAAATAATTTATGATATTATACTATATAGAGATATGTGAAACATTTAAGCCACCCAACGCTTGCTTTGACAATACGCCTTCAGTGAAATTTAAAACTCCCATGTATAAATTTCCACTTTAGCGTCTTTTCAAAAAAGAAAAACAAAAAAACTGTGTCCATACAACGGTAATTTGAGCTTTACAACATAAACGCACTTCTGCTGTCCGAACACACACACACACATGTGATGGTTTTCTTTGTTATTGTTTTGGTTGCAGTTGTCAATGGACATTTGTTCTCCTTTTTTCTGTCATACGTACATTGTGTGTCGGGCCACATTTTAAAGTCATTCATAAAATCTAAACTGTTAACCGGTGCTTATGTGGTCAAAACATTTACAATGTTTGCTAAAATCATCGGATCGGACGACATTCATGGACACCAACGACAACAACAACTAACTTGATGATTGACAGTCATGCAACCACACACATCAAGTCATCAACATATATATACATACAAATATTGTATTATTCATACGATATATTTTGATGGTCAAGTCCATGGCTATGAACTTAACTAACAAAAGGGCTCTGATTTTGTCACACAACAGCACAGGCTATGACAGAACTTTTAAAGGAAACCAAGAATTGTTTTTGTAAACCATTTTTGTTGTTAAACCCCCTGTCATCAAAGAAATTAAATAAAAACGGCTCATGTTACTTGCACTTAACGAACTTTTTTGTTTTGTCGCCGTAGCTTCTTCCCAATTGCTGTAAAATGAAACCCAAATAAAGAAAATAACTGACAAACGTTTCAAATTAAACTGTGAACTTTGTCAACCTTTCTTTTGCTTAGGTTTCTTTAGCGTATATCTTATTATTCCTTTTACTCCAAAAAATAAACGTTTTAGTCCAAATTATTTTCTTTTAATGTGCAAAAAAATTAAATAGGTTTGACTATTTGGTGGCATTAAGTGTCGTTGGTGGCATTTCCTATGAATATAAAGGGATTACTTCCTTGGGATGACACATTTTACAATACCTATAATGTATTTATAATATAAATATTTAATGGGAATATCATGGGCCAAGCTTTTGAACGGAGTTGCAGAACCTTAAGGGCTACAATATCTATGAAATAAAATGCGAATATTTATCATCAAATCGAAAGACCACGCACTTTATTCTTTATATGCAATTATAAGAAGTAGTCATGGGGTCCAATTCTGGACTGTATAGAGGATATTTCATCATTTACATATTTTGGCCGGCCAAAAAGGCGCTGGTTTTGGCCGATGTGTAAAAGCTGGCATTGTCATGGTGCACAATGGTTCAACTTCTGTCGTTCATTTTTCGCATTTTTTCTCTGAAGACTCAAGAAAAAAATGGCGCCCAATGTTGCTCAAACGGAATAGTAGTCACATGATCAAATCTATGAAATGAAGTACTAATATTTATTATCAAAGTCGTAGACCACGCACTTAATTCGATGTGTAAGAGCTCGCATTGTCATGGTACACAAGGGTTCAAATTCTCTTGTTCATTTTTCGTATTTATCGGAATACTTCAGGAAAAAATTTGGCGCCCAACGTTGCTCAAAGAGAGCATTCTTCATAAGGGATAATAATTAGAAGTCATGGGGTCCATGTCTGGGCTGTCCAGCGGATACTCTATCATTTACACATTTTAGCTGGCTAAAAAGACGCTGGTTTGATCCGATATGTTAAAGCTCGCGTTGTCATGGTGCAAAATGGTTAGACTTCTCTTGTTATTTTTATCTGAAGACAGAGTAGTTGTCACATTATCAGTTTAGCCGAAGGCCCATGCTACCATTCACTTCAAAGTGCTTTTTCCACAAAGAACTTTCGTTGGATTGATCTTTGAAGGCCTCCACGTTATCAATATTTCATCGACAGGAATATTTTTTGGCCGATTATCAAATTTATTTTAGTTAAGTCCAGGGGCTCATTAAATATCGAAAGAACGATTGGCCAAAAATATTTGTAATATAATAATAACACAGTGACACATTTTTCAACTTTAAAATCTTGAACCAATCGAGACCCCCAAAATCTTAAAGCTTGTGGAAGAAAATCCCTAGCTGGGTTTTGCATTATTAGCTAAGGTTTTTTTTAAATTCATTTTTAAAATATTCGACTGGGGCGGATTTTAGCACAATTTTTGAATAATACGTACTTATTATTGAGTCTATATCTCGTGAACTATTCGAAATATTGCTTTTCTCTCTTAAGCAATATTTTCCTCTTAATTAGATCTAAAAATTTTCTCTTGAGATAAAATTAATAAAACAACACCATCATACTGAAAATAGCACAACTGCAAAAAATTAAAATTTAGACATACTTTTCCATGTTTTTCACACTTTTTTCAGAAACTGCTACTGACTCGGCCAAACAGTATATGACAAGAAGATAGCCAATAGCAAATCAAACAACTTTCATTGGTTGACTCCTTCACATAGTTATAGCCTCACAAATTCATCAAGATGAACCAAAGAAATTCACTCCCAATTGTATGTTTATAGAAATAAAAATTGCTATGCTTTTTTCAATAAATAGGTACAAAATTGAAGTAAAAATTATACATGGAAAAAGTATGTCGAAATTTTAATTTTTTTGCAGTTGTGCTATTTTCAGTATGATGGTGTTGTTTCATTGATTTTATCTCAAGAGAAAATTTTTAGATCTAATTAAGAGGAAAAATATTGCTTAAGAGAGAAAAGCAATATTTCAAATAGTTCACGAGATATAGACTCAATAATACGTACGTATTATTTGAAAATTGTGCTAATTTTAAAAATTAATTTAAAAAAAAACCTTAGCTAATAATGCTAAACCCAGCTAGGGATTTTCTTCCACCATCACAAGCTTCAAGATTTTGGGGGTCTCGATTGATTCAAGATTTTAGTGCTGCACAGTGTAATCAGGTTCTCAAATTTTATTTACTTACAGAAACTGCTCAGGTTCACTTTGACAAAATAGAGTTTCTGTTGCATTAAAAGTGCCTATAAATAGAACCAGCTAAACTTTTATATACCTATAGAATTTACTCAGTTCCTGTCCCAGATTTTATTTTGGTTACAGTGACTTTCTCATATTTAAATGCGATTGTCCACTTTTTTGTCTGCATAGGGATCCAGGGTATGTAGGTTATTTTCATTAATCATTGTTTTTATTCCCGCTCAGTGGATGATTGGTGTGATGCAGCCTGTCCTAAATAATGGGGCTGCCAGCTATCGTTACCTAGAAACAATGTATCTTTGCGTTGCGCGCAGTGGTTAGGGTCCTTGCTTATTTAGTGCTAAACATCCTCCATTGCTATTTTGTGGTATCCCCATTTGTTGGTGTTGATTCCGAAATTGGTTATTAAAATGTCAGGGGCTTCGGAAGCATTTTATCCACAAAGCATCAATATGTCCTTGTGTTAGTTTCATTAATCATTGTTTTTTAATGCAGCTAAGTGAATGATTAGTTTAATGTAGCCTGTTCTAGATTATGGGCTGCCATCTATCGTTGCCTAGAAACAATGTCTCCTTGGGTTTTGTACAGTGGTTTCGGTCCTGGCTTATTTAGTGTTTACCATACTTTTTGTGGTACCCTAATTTTTGATTCCGAAATTGGTTATTAAAATGCCAGGGACTTCGGAATCAATATATCCACAAAGCATCAATATCTCCTTGTGTTAGTTCCATTAATCATTGTTGTTTAAAGCAGATAAGTGGATGATTGTTCTAATGCTGCCTATCATATATGATGAGCTGCCATCTATCTTTACAATCCTCCTATGGAGCGCTATCTCCTGTCATTCCAATTTTGTTGATTCCGAAGTTGGTTATTAAAATATTCAAAAAACACTTCGAAATAATATTTTTCCATTCGCTGGGTTTCGAGCCGAGGAGCCATCGGTTTGTAGTCTAGCACACTATCAACAGAACTACCCCATCTATTGTCCTCAAGAATCTATCGCAGAAGTTTAGGCACTTAAATTATGACTGTGTATGACCTAAAATGTTTTCCTTATACAACCCCCAAAACACATTCCACAGTTATTTTATTCACTTCAAATATTGCAAAGGTATTTCCCCTTTTCTCAATACTTCCGTCAAAAATGTACTTTACTGCCATCTATCGTTGCCTAGTTTTGTGTAATGATTGGCGTCCTTGCTTATACAGTCAGGAGGCTTCAGATTTATTTCAACTAGAAGGGCATGAAAGCTTCTCTTTATAAATATTCCAAAACTTTTTTGAAAGAAGGGTTTCCCCTAAACTGGGATTCAAACGCGGGAACAACGCCACCTAACTGTTGGCCCCAAGAATGTAACTGTATGACCTATAAATAATTCCCTATACAATCTCCAAAGTAGATTTCGCATTTATTTCATTCACTCCAAATCGTGCGAAGTATTTCCCTTTTTTCCCATTTAGAATCCACTACTTCCGTCAAAAATTTCCTTTGAATTTTCTCTGAAACATTAAACCCCTTTTTGAGAATAACAATTTCTGTTGTTATTGTACTTTGTTTTAATTGTCAACCTTATTTTTTCCGCTCTGTATTTTTTGCAAAGAGGTTTAGAGTAGATTTCAGACGAATCGAATCGCCGCTGCTTAGCTGGCTGACTGACTGACTGGTATGTGTTTGTTTTAAGCCGTATTTAATGCAACGAGTTAATGTGGCAGACTTACAAGTGCTGGCTGACTGACTGACTAAACTGATTGTTTGGTTAGCGGGAGAGGGTGGTGGTGTGAGTTGGTGGTTCTTAGCCGGGCTGATACGTTTTTATTCGCAAACAGAAATTTATCACTTGGCCATTCAGTCATTCATTCATTCCTTTGCTCATTCATTCACTTAAGTTTTGAGTTGTAGGAAATAAATAGAAGAAAGAACAAATGGAAAAAGTGTCACACACAAACAAAGCAGAATATCCCTTGTTGTTGCTCGTGTTTTTTTTTTCAGGGTTCTGCTTCACAGAATTTTAGTTTTGACTTGTTTTTTAACACATTTATGCCCTACAATAATATCCATCTATATATGGTTGTTGGTGTTGTTGTTTCTGTTTTGTGTCATAAGAAAGTCAAAACGAAATGGCAAAAAATAAAACACAACTAATGTCGTCGTATTCGCTGATGTGTGTTTTGGCATTAAGTTTCATTAAACTTAATATGAGTTCGTTCGTTGCTGTTGTTGTTGTTGCTATTCTGTTTTTTATTTTATTTTTATTATTATTTGAAATGCAAATTTTCCATTTGTTTTAACAAAGCTCTACTACTTCCATAGAGAGATTAATTTTCACATACATATTCGTACGTTCGTATAAACATATATGTTGTTGGTTGTCATTATACAAAAGAAAATTGGAACTAATTTCTCAAAAGATGTCTGTCCTCTTTACTGACTATATTGCTCATATTATGGATATCAACGACAGTGTCCTATATCTAAAGGTTGTCGTTGAACACTTCAAAATTGGCAACCAAGAAAAATGATTCTGAAAATTTCGCGATTTTTCAATTGATCCTGGTTATATTATGACATGACATCGATTAGTCGTTAAATTGATTTTAATTCCAGCTCGGTAGATGTTTGGTCTGATGTAGTCTGTTCTAGGTGATGGGACTGCCATATACCGTTGCCTAGAAACAACGCCTCCTTGAATGTTCCGTGGTAGTTGGGGTCCTTGCTTATTTTAGCGTTGCCATAACCCTTTAAAATTCGTTCAGACTTCGGTTAGACATGTCTGAACTCTATCCCAAATGTTTAACATAAATCATACATTGGCTACAATATACATTTGTGGTCGAGGCAATAAAATCATCTGAATATTTCGTCTAGGACTATCAAAGTATCTAAAATACCCAGTACCTAATAATATAAAGATTAGTTTCGGTTTTCCAATGTATCCTGGTGGTATTATGGTATAGGTTGTCCGTAATAAAAGCAACATCTAACTCGATTAGGCGATGTAATAGTTTCGCTTTAATGGTTTTTATTCCAGCTCTCTAGATGATTGGTCTGTTGTAGACTGTTCTATATAATGGGACTGTTATCTACCTTTGCCTAGAAACAACGCCTCCTTGATTTGCGCGTGGTGTTGCCATAAACACTTTAAAGTTCTTTCAGACTTCGGTTAGACATGTCTGAACTCCATCCCAAGTGTTCAACATGAATTATATGAGATCTACTATTAATATTTCTGGCCGGGGCAGCACTTAGTGTTGCCTAGCGGCTTTTGATATTTCCATTGGAATTTTTGAAAATCGAAGTCTTCAAAAGCCACAAATGGGGAATTAAATATATATGGATATGAGACCGAAACCAAAACAGCTATGTATGGGTCTTCGAAGACGAGGCAAATTCAACGAATGTTATAGAACATTGAAGGCAATGGTCTACTGTTTCTTTGGCAAAACATGGACATGATTCTTCTGAGTGTTACAGCACATTTTGTAATACCTAAACATCAGTCAGGACCCTTATATGTTGTCTACATTAAAATGTGTATTTAAATTGAATATTCAGAGAGAATTAAAAAAAATTGCAGCGTGTGTTTAGTGGTAGTGGCGGAGTTTATTTATTTATTTATTTTTTTTTTGTGTTTTCTTCTTATTTACTGAAATGTTCATGTTCTCACCATATACAATGTTGAACATTTGGTTGAGTTTGTTCTTCGTATCAACACTTGATTGATATATTATATTTAGCATTTATATCGAAATAATTTGGAAAATACATATGGGAATTTTGTAACACCATTTCGTTTGCAATAATGAAATAATGGAATGCAAAAATAGTCACAATAGAATGGGATTACTCGGTGGTTGTTAGCAAGAGAAACAGTTGTCAATTAAAAACACAGTAGCAAAAATAACAAACACCATGCAATGGAATGCTTTTGTTTTTGTTAAAAATGAGAGAAAGATGGAAAACAAACGCAAAGAAATGAAATTTTTACATTTTTTGGAAAAAATATTATATTTTTTACGATTATAAGAATTTTCACTCGTATTGAAAGCGAGGTATATGTACAATATGTAAAAAAATAACTATGAATCAAATTATGAAAATATTCATATTTTTCACATTGATGTTTTTCTGTGTATGTATTTGAATCCAGAATAAATCCTAGAGTGCTCAGGATTCATTTGATACTCCGGGTTCTTGAATTCATTTGGAATATAATAGTGCCTGAAAGCTTCCCAATGGCGATTAAAAGATCCCTTTAAAACTTCTCAGTTCTGTACGACTATAATTCATTTCCTGTACGATTTCATATTTTTTCCCCAACATTTAATTTAATTAATTTCTTTCTTTTTTCAGATACCTACAATGCGTCAGCAAATATATGAAGGATCTGAAACCATTCGGAGATGTACCCGACAAACTATCCGTCCAAATTAAAAGATCATTTGTAGCAACAAGAACCTATGGTCAGGCATTGAGTACGGCGGCGGATATTTCCAAGCGGTTAATTAATGTAAGTTTTTCAACACAAAATCATGTGCTATTATTTTGTTTTATAGAGAAAATTTAAATAAAAAAAATACAAATCAGCTGTTATTTTCAAAAAATATTGCATGACTAAAACTCCTTGTACATTAGAACTTTTTACCGGGTTAACCTACTTCATGAGGATTTATTTGACATATATGCAAAGGAATTGACAATTGAAACCCACTGGGTTAACGTAATCCGGTTAAATGTAAACGTACTATAATATAGTTTTTCCTAAAAGTATACTACATTTATTTATGATTTGTTTTCTCTTTTACAGATACGTTTAAATGCCGATTGTACATCGGCCCTAACCAAAATGCAACACTGTGGCTCGTGCAAAGGTTATACGGAAAAACCCTGTACGAATTATTGTGTTAATGTCATCAAAGGTTGCCTACACTATTTCAATGAATTGGATACGGAATGGGAGAATTTTGCCGGTGCTATGGATAAGGTGGCGGAACGTTTATTGGGCTCTTTTAATATTGTTATGGTTGTCGAACCAATTAATATTAAAATTTCCGAAGCCATTATGAATTTCCAGGTTAGTAGTAAAATTGGATTTTAATTTCCCCCAAAAACACAGAAACAACAATTACTAATTTAGCACCTCCATTTAAAGTAAATATTAATAAATAACTAATACACACATGCGCCATACGATTAATTTGTATGCAAAATACTTTAGCTAAAATATGTTGGAATCTCACACAAAAGTGTATTAGTTTGTGCGTGTCAAACACTAATCGCGAAATTTACATAGATATAAAGGCACAGTGGGAGGTTTTTTCATATATAATAGAGTCCACTAATGGGGGAAATTAAAAAATCATATCTCAACCAAAATACCAAAAATTATATTAAAACCCCAAAATGCCAAAGCACATGCAGTTTGATTTAGGTGTGGGAGAAGTTTCTCCCCAATAACCTTTTGTCTGTCCCTTATATACAAAACGATCATTGAAGAAAAATATGTTTTCTTTTGTCTCAAAAAGACAAAAGTTACACTGTGCCCCCATCAACCTACTCACCAACTCGGGGTGTATCAAATTTCGTTTGGCTTTTTTCTGTCTTCTTGTTTTTGTTTATCAACAACCAGTTAATGTCAAAAAAATGATAATTTTTTTATTAAGCTTTTGCATATATCTGTAATGGGTGCCAGAGTCTGTGTGTGTGTGGATGGGCCTACTGCCTACTAATTTATGTATATGACTTCTACAGCTTCTCGTTTTTTTATATTAAAACAAAGTTACAGTTAGTGGGGGCGAGCAATATTTAGTATATTGACAAAAAACAATAAGATAATTAAAAAAAACTGAAAGATAATTTTTAAACGACAAACCCCATTAACAATTTAAAAAATATCAACCAATTTGAAGATATCTCTAATAATAGCCCAAAAAAAACTTTTTCGTTTGTCATTTTTTTGTTATTAATTATTCTAAACAGGTTTCAATTTGAACATCACCTATTGCGCATTGTCTAAATAAATTTATTAATACATACATAAATATGCATATCTTTCTTTATAGCAAAATGAGTGTTTGTTTATTTGTTTTATATATTTTTTAAGCACAAAAGTGTGTTTGATTATTGCCCATTTGAAGAAGTACCGAAATCTGTTTGCAAAATTTATTATTAACGCCCGCAACAATAGGTGTACCGCCGCCGAAGTGTACAAATAAATTTTCAAATTTATTAATTCAAAATCTCTGCAAGATAAAAGCAATAATAATAAATAAAAACGTATTTATATTTTGATGTTGTTTGCCATTATTCATTGATTGATCGATAGAAGATGCTAATATTTTTTGCTATATATTCAATAATATTTGGAGAGCATTTCACATGCATTAGAGGTTATGTTATTTGTTTAATTTGTAGGACCCGGAAAATATTTTTCAGAAAATAGGTTGATGTGAGAGAAATCTTAAAAAAAAAACCAGTAAGGAAAGTAGTAAAGTCGGACTGGGCCGACTATATGATACCCTTCACCACTTTGGGGATATTCTACATATGTATCCTAACAGACGTAGCCTTTTCTAAGGCGATTATTTGGTGTACAGTCAACATGAATAGGTCGAAATTATATATGGAAGCTAATCTGAACCGATTTCAAGGAAACTTGCTAGATATTAATTTCTGTACGTGTATGGGTCTGTATGGGCCTTTAGTGTACCATTTACTGAAAATCGGGCGAAAATATATATAGAAGGTATATTTAAATCTGAACCAATTTCAAGAAAACTTGACACACGAAAGGTTATAGTAACAGTACATTGTACGAAATTGTGTGCCGATCGGCCAATCTTTGGATTTTTAGTGCAGATTTTAAATTAAATCAGTCGAAAATATATATTGAAGCTATATCTAAATCTGAACCGATTTTCACGAAACTTAGCACGCATCATTCTGGACCTAATTCAGTACCCTATGCCAAATTTCGTGCAAATCGAAAGATATATGGGCACTTTGGAGCCCCATTTACCTTAGATCGGACGAAAATATATATGGGAGCTATATATAAATCTGACCCGATTTTCTCGAAACTTGGCACACATCATTCTGGACCTAATTCAGTACTCTGTGCGAAATTTCGTGCAAATCGAAAGATATATAGGGACTTTGATGCACAATTTACCTTAAATCGGACGAAACTATATATAGGAGCTATATCTAAATCTGAACAGATTTTCTCGAAACTTGGCACACATCATTCTGGACCTAATTCAGTTCTCTATGCCAAATTTCGTGCAAATCGAAAGATATATAGTGACTTTGGTGCATCATTAACATTAAATCAGACGAAACTATATATGAGAGCTATATCCAAATCTGACCCGATTTTCTCGAAACTTAGCACACGTCATTTTGGACCTAATTCAGTACTCTGTGCCAAATTTCGACAAATCGATTTTCAATAGGGCTACATCTAAATCTGAACCGATTTTCAATAGGGTTCGTCCTTGAGCCAATTAATTGACCTTTGCCAAATTTCATCCAAATCGGATCATAATTGCGACCTGTACTTTGTTAACAAAAATACATGGACGGACGGACAGACGGACATGCATAAATCGACTCAGAAAGTGATTCTATGCATATTCTCAAAAGGAACCATGGGTCTATCTCGATTATTTTTGCCTGTTACATACATATGCACAAATACATAATACCCTGTACCACACTGTGGTGAAGGGTATAATGATCCTTAGGTCGGACCTCTCTATATAAATTAAAAAAATATATTGGAGCTTACAACCTTCTGTTCAAGCGGCTGCGTAGAGTAGATGAATAAAGGTCAAAAAATGTTTATTTTCTAAATTCGAAAGCAATCCCTCTAAATTGCAATGAAATTCAGCCTTTTAAGGATGATATTGGTATTCCGTGATAAGGGCACTGATTCATTTGGATTAGTGCCCTAATCTAGGTATATTCCAAATCTTATTACGACTAGCAAAGGATTTGCGTTTCGACCTTTTCCATATGAAAATTTATTATTTTTAATTTATTGAGGTTATGTTCCAATGATTACAGCATAGTGTGTAATTTTGCACTCCCCTTTTTCTGTAGGGTATAATAGTCACTTCAAACTTCTTTGCATTGCACCCCTTTTAAGAAGAAAATTTTTAGTGTATTTATTCTTCTGATTTTTTCAACAATTAAACATCAAGTAAGGTCACCAACAGATTTTAAATTTTTATCTGATTTGAAAGACTTTATTTAAAAAAACTCATAAGTCTTTATTCTGGTGATTCATCAAATACCAAACAATTTGGACGAATTGCTATCGTAACTATATAGCTTTATCGGGAAAAATAAATACAAATGTTATAATCTCTTAAAAAATCCTTATACATTATTACGGTTTATGCAAAAAAAAAATTCCTTCAAAATAAATCTAACCAAGCTTTACACAATACATTTCAATTGCCCTGCAGCCTCCACCAGAGGCCAATCTGTTTACCCATATATTAAACCACTTATTCTAGCACAGACAGCAAATGTCTTTTATTCGTTCGTTCATTCATTCCATCTATCATTCATGTTTTTTAGTGTAATGCTAGAAGCAACGGAATAATAACAACATATCGACTTACATTTATGTCTAGCAACATTTATTCGCACCTATTTACCTAGCATTTAAAAAGTGTGTGATTTCATACCTCAAGGGTTAAAGAAACAACAACGACACTCAGAGTCACATACAGCCAACAACCAAACGAACATCATTATTTTATACCATCATCGTCATCATCATCACGATTATGATATGATATTGGTTTTCCATGACATGTACATAGTTCTTTTGCTATATGTTTGGTTAACGCCATCGAACAACCATCCAACTGAACGTACGACCGACCGACATACCATCAGCAATGACAACAACATCAGCAGCAACACATCTCTTGCCAAACACACACATAAACTATAATTTATCTAATTTCCTGTAATTGATACAATCGTCGATTGCTTTAAGATGATGTCTGTCTACTGATGAAGTCGATGGTGATGATGGCTGTTGGAGTACACCCAGTCAGCCAGTAACCAATCGATATTAATGAATGGACAGACACATTTCCAATAGGCACTTACCATAGTGTAGCCTACAATGATTCCGTAAATCTATCATTTGGCCTGAATCAATGAATGACTATTGACATGTCTATCTGTTTGACTGTACGACTGTCTGTCTGATTGTTTGTATTTTGGTCTATGAATGAATACGATTCAATACGATTTCAGTATTGAAATGCATGTATAGAGACACTCTTCTTCGTGTAGTTTGATACACATATATTCAAGAGATACAAAAATTAGATGATCATAGACTGAGATGGTAGCTGTAATAGCTTTGTACACTTTATGATTTTAATTGAATCAAAATTAGGAGTTCTTTGGTCGGTAAAACTTTCGGAATTTTTCTATGGAGCAAAATATAATTTCGATCGATATTTTTTCCCATTTTTAATATATTTTAAAAGGCCGAACTGAGCACTATAAAGCCAATAACTATAAATTTCACCAGAATATTTTTTGAAGATCCACCGACGCCATAATTAATCATTGCTCATCCGACTATCAAAGCTATAAAATTACCTTACTTACTACCTATGACTTTTCCAACATCATAGTTTCCATCAACAACCCATCTCTGACGATATCTATGTAGTTTTGTGTACGCTTTGTGGTTGTCTACAACTCATAGTAGATTAGATATATCAAGTGTAATTTAAGACCAATATGTACTCAGAAAAACGTGAAGAGGTGTTAACCTTAACCACCCACCGCACACACACACATATTTATACACACTCATTCATACACATACCCACAATGTATAGTTTACGGTAAACAGCAAACAAATTAGGTGAAAATGTGGTTACATTAATGAAAACATTTTCCTAATGCATTTGTTTTCCCATTTTCCTACTTCAATTACAGGATGCTGGTCCCGATATTACCAATCGTGTCTTCTCCGGCTGTGGTCGTCCCCCCTTGGGTCTGGCCAAACGCAACATCAGTCCCAAGTTTATGGCAACGAATGAAGAAACCACCAAACATAGTACAAAACGTTCTGTTGCCGAGCAGATGGAAAGTGATATTCTGGATATTGATGCTTCGCTGGATGATGCCATTATATTGCGTGAAAAACGTGCTGCTGATCCCGGTAATCGTGATAGTAGTGAAAATGGTGGTGGCAATAGCAATCGTCGCAACAACAACAACAAACGTAAACAACAAAATCGTAAAAATGACGATAATGATTATAGTGGTCGTGATCCAGCACTCGATAAACTGGTCAAGGATATACGTCAACGCATGAAGGATTATAAGAAATTCTGGTCGAATTTACCACATCAGATATGTAGTAATGAAGAAATTTCCACATCCAGTGATGCTGATGGTATGTGCTGGAATGGTCACACTATTGATAGGTGAGTTTGTTTGAGGTCACTTTTTTGGGAATAATATTTAATGTCATATTTGTTTTTTCTTTCTATTCTTATAGATATATGCACTCGGTCACCACTGAACATGGTTCTAATCCTGAATTCCCCGGCAATCCATCGACACCCAAACAAACTAGTCAAGTTGCCTCGCATGTTATGTCCTTGAAGAATGCCATTAATCATTTGAGAAATGCCTATAATGGTCAGGATGTAGTTTGGAGTGATGATGGTAAGTTGAAATGATATGGAGAGATATATACTGGATTAAAGTTTTTAAATAAAGCAAATCACTCTTCAAAAATTGTATTTAATATAATAAACGTTACGCCGTAATTTAAAATCAAAATCCGTCCTTTTATCCCTCTTTAGACCGGCCATCGTTAACTAAGCACTATTGCATTCATGCAACGACTCTAATCTAAGTATATTCCAAATCTAAATACGTCTTGCCATCCCGAGACTCCCTTTGAATTAAGTTTTACCACAGAGTTCGATTTTTAGTTCTTCAAAACAAAATTGCGGCCTCACCTTTCTTATGCATTTCAAAATTCACTCTTTTTATTTTATTAACCACAGTTTTGATGATACTTTAACCCTCAACATTCTTCGATTATACCCTAAATCGATTTTTTAACCTCCTTTCCATGTTGTTGACACCTCTGTAGTCTTTACAACACATAAAAATAATGTCAATGACAATTTGGAAAATCTTGCGGCTTTTAAGTTTTTAAAACTTATCCTCACTTTCTTCTACGGCCTCACTTTTCTTCTGTAGATCAAAATTTACTCTTTTCAATTTATTAACGCCATCGTATCGGGAAGATAGACGAAGTTTAAAAACAGTGTAGAAAAAACTATTTATTTAACCATGTCAGAATTTTTACAAAGCCAATGATCTGCTTGGGTTCTATTCCGGAGAAGAATGCTAGATTATCAATTTCATATTTACCAAACTGTCGTTGTCTTGTCTTGCTAATTAGCGATAGGCACCTACACAGTAAATGTTCAATTGTTTCCACCTCTTCCTCACATAGACGGCACTAATTCACTCCGTTAATATCCCATTCGAAAGTGAGAGATCTAATCCTGAAGTGGCCTGTTATGCTGTCTCATAAAATAATAATTTTATGAGACAGCAGCCATATGGTTTTTGAAATCCTGCATCCAGTTTCCGTTGACCATCTGTTGCCGACTACCTCATACAGATTTTGCCAATAAAATAGCCAATAGGAGGTTGTACAGATCCCTCAATCGGTAGATTTGACGACTGTGAACCCCCTCGAGCAAGCTCATCGGCTATCCCATTCCCTTCTATGTTACTGTGCCCTGGAATCCAACATAATTTAACTGTATACAACATATACGACATATCATGTGGAGCACCCTTGTAGTCACGAACCGCTTTTGAGTTAATAGAACACGACTTAAGTGCCTCAAGGGCCTCCTGACTGTCGACAAATATAGCCACCGGTACTATGTTATCGATGGACCATTACTTACTTCTAAAATTACACTTAGAATCCATTTTTATAGATAGGTTCGGATTTAAATATTATATTATAATCAAATTCTAATATATTCCCCAAGTAGTGTAGGATATCATATAGTAGACCCGATCGTTTTTTCAGATTTTTTTAAACCAACGTATTTTTTGAATTTATATGTATTTCATTCCAAAACAAATATTTATAATTGTTTCTCTTTTTTTACAGAAGAACCCTACGATGGCAGTGGTGCTGGATCCGGCGCTGGTGTTGATGACGAAGACGACGATGAAGAAGGTTCTGGTTTGGGTAGTCCCTTTACACCTAGCCACAGACCAGATCACACCGAACGTCCTAATAATCGTGTCGACGATGAAGACGACGACGAAGATGTCGTCCAACAGCGCACCAATATTGGACACGGTGCCGGTGGCTTGCCAACACAAACCTCAAGGCCACATAGTCCTCATGATACCAACGAACTGGATATCGATGATGGCGACAATCATCAGGGTCATCATGATGACGACGATGAAGATCTCAAATCAAGCGGGTCGACGAGACCTGAAAAAATGTCTTTACGTCGTGCTTTATTCATGTATTTAATGCCATTGTATATGGCTTGGTTCGGTGGCGTCATTGCCGACATGCTGTGATTTGTTATTTAGATTTTTATTTGTTTTTTTTACGTTCGTTCGTTTTTTAAGTTTTATTTAAAACAAAACAAATTCTAAGGTAAATTTTTTGTCTCTGTGTAGGATAAACGGAAAGTAGTGAAACAAAATGAAAGAAAGAAAAAAAAACATTATTTTGAACAAAACAAAGATGAAAGTAAAGAAATTCAAATTGTGGGTGATAGTTAAAAGAAAAAAAAAGAAAAACAAAATAGAGAGAATGAGTGCTCCTTTTTAGGGTATTTAAGTAAGCAAAACGAAACAACAAAATTTATTCAAATCGAGTTTATTTCATAATTACTTTTCCTACTCTTTTCGTGTACATATAAAATATTTACATAATTTTATGTATTTCTTTCTTTTTATATATATATATATTTAAATGGCTTAAGTTAGATTTTGATTTTAAAACTATGATTTTTTTTATATAAAGAACAAATATCCCTTTTATTTCGGTATTGAAAATAACTAACCCCCCTAACTGCCTAAAGCAATTGCCCTTCCCAAAAAAAGAAAAGAAAATGGGCTTAAAATGAGAAAACAAATTACAATTTTAATTTTCCATAATTATCAATAAAAATATTGAGAAATATTTTTTTATTGCTATAATTTAGAAGAGGAAATTATCATTAAAAATCCTCAGCCATTTCCTTAGTCATTATTATTGAAAATTTAAGTAAAGAAGTCGTATAGTGTATAGAAATAAAAGTAAAAACACACAATCATCCGAAACAACAAAACAATCTATATACGTAATTGCAAATATGATGTTTCAAAAACTCCCTAAATCCTAAAAACCTAACCTAAAACTTTTATATATATATACACCATTCAAACACACACACATTGTAGTTGTTAAGCCTCAAAAATATTTACATTTATAAAATTTTAACAACCATCTATATATTTATATATTTTGTTAGATTATAAACGAAAAACTGAAAAATAACAACAATGATTATTGTAAAAAAAATCAAGAAGATGATGTGCGATAAAAAACGAATGCATTTGTAATATTATATAATATTTTTAAAACAACCTAAAATAACACCATAAATGTTTCCCTTCCATTATGTGACTCCTCCACGATCATTGTAACCACGATCCCTCCATGAGAAAACAAAATGCAAATGTTATAAAATGTGTAAATGAAGATATTTTTGTTTATGTCGATTTAAAGTATGTTGTTTGGTAGGTCAACGTCTCTTTCAATTCTACGCCTAAAAATTATACAGAAATTTATAGGAATTTGTCCCATAAGTGAAAAAGGCTTTTGGCTATAATATTTGTATTTTTGTTAAATAATGACTTTTTGAAACTTGTGTTTTAAATATTGGATATTCCAATAGATATTCAAATAATTCAAGTTGGTATATAACAGCTCTCTTCAAACCCCAACAAAACAACATACTTCATTTTAGCCGAAATAATAAAATTTGAATTACTTTTTAAATCGAAAACAAAAATATTGAATATCATTTTCGTACTGATGAATTAATTTTACTAAACATAAAATAATCTACTGATTAGCTTCCGATAAACACTCTATCATATGTCAGTAGAGACTTATTAGGATTTGAAAATAGCATTACACATCTTTGTATACATACAAATTTTTCAAAATTCTTATACATAAGTAAAAACTAAATATAAAAATACAAACACAAGAAAATGTGCAATTTAATAAGAAAGAAAACAAAAAGCATAACTACTAATCACAAAATGAAATGATTAGCGTAAAAACTTTGTTCAGCCTAAAAGTATACTTTAAAATTCAATTTAACAAAACAAAAAACAAAAACAAAGAATTATGAATAAAGTTCGAAACGTCAAATGTAACTGTTCCATTCAGGAATTTCAAAACAAAAAAACTTCCAAATTATATTATTTTTTTGGTAAAACTAACTTAATTTTTAGTCATTCAATTTGAATCCAAAACGAAATAAATTAAACAAAAAATTTCTTCCATTTCTGTTTCAGTTTTATGTTTGCATTTATTTTTTCTTTTTGTTTCGTTTGTTAAGCAATATCGAATTTTATAATAACCAAACACTACTTATTATTTAGACATACTATACATACATATTTTATATATATATATATATATATATATATTACATTAAAAACAAAATATGTTTTGCTTTAATTATCTTTCTGTTTTTGTATGTTATTTTTTTCATTTGACTGATTTATAATTTATTTTTGCGATTAAATTCTTCCATTAATACTTTGTATTGTCTTATTTTTAATTATTATTTTTTATAGTTGTGTCTATTCGTATAATACGTACCATATAATATATATGAAAATATTTTATTTTAATTTAACATTTAATTAGCATCGTATATACATATGTACTAAACCCTAAACAAAACCCCTGAACACCTTATTTCATAATTTTATAAATATATATCATAAAAATAACAATAATTATAATAAAAATAAAAAGAAATTTCTATGATAATGAGAAGATGACAATGATGTTGTATGTGACGTATGTGATTATAAAAAAATAAAAATAATTATTTAATAAACAACCGAATATTATTTAAAGAAAAAAAATAAAATGAGTATTTATTCGAAATGGGTTGGTTGCTATTGTTATGGAACAACATTCATATGTTAGAAAATAGGATGTAGAGCCGCTAATTATTTAACGGTTGTTTCACTCGGAGACCTTTGGTCAATTTTGCTCATCCGAATAACCTGAAAATAGAGAATTGAAGGGGAGAAAGATAGGGGATGGAATAAGATGTTACAACTTAGCCAAGAGTGACTTTTGGATAACTTATGCATTTTGGTGGGTGCAATTCCGGTGAAGATTGTTGGAGAATCAATACGTATCTGACAAATAATTGATGCATTTGACTATTGGGCATTATCTTTCAGTATGATAATTCCATCTCGATGGATTTTGATTTTTTCCACCCAAGTACTTTAAACCATTTAATCCACCACCAAAACAAAGGACAAAAACTAAATTAACTTTTACAATGTAGGACTTCCTAGAGAGTGTTTTTTTAATAAAATGAAAAGGCCGAAAGTCACGTCATATCGACATGTCGAAATTTCATGGCTTTCATAATTACAAATTAATAAATGTGCCAGTTTTATTGATTTCTTGAATTGTTAGCAACTGATTGTGAATTTTCATTGAGAAGCCCTATACCATAAAAAAGGAGTCGGAGTAGCTCAATTTCAAATCATGTTTTTAATTTTAAGTGGTTATTTATACTCTTTCGAGTCGAGCTTGATGATCTAAGTTTTGCAATGAAAAGGAAAGCCAGGAGAATAACCTACGTACCCACCATTATGCGACGCGTTTCGCCGTTGGTTAAGCGGTTCATCAGGCATATTGGGCTATGTGGCTTTACGTTGTCGTACGTTGATAATTTGTATTTATCCCGCCCTGATGCGAAACTTGCATATGCGAATTAAATTCAAATTTGTCAAAGTTCGACATTTGTCTTCATTCTAGGAACAGTCCTTTTCAAAGTAGATTTTTGTTGTAGCGATAGATAATTAATCCACACACCTACAATTGCTTCCTGGTATACACATGTTTTTGCGCAACCGTTTTGGAAGTGTTGCAAAACTTAGATCATCAAGCTCGACTCGAAAGAGTATAAATAACCACTTAAAATTACTTTCAGATGATCACTGCCCTTACATGGCAAAATTCAAATAACAGATGTTTTTAATTTTGATTATTTTACCAATTCATTGAATCTACACTCAATACACTTTATATGATATTTGCAAGTTTTCAAAATTGTAACCCTTTGTATGGGGGGATAAAAAAAAACAGTGAACATTTGTAGAAAAGGGACCAGAAGGTGTGAACCAATAGCCTTTTACCCGTCATATTATATGCTTTTAAAGAAATATTATGATGTGCAAAATGTTAATCAAAGGTGTTTCTCCATTCCTGTGTTTCGCCTGCAACAGCTAGAAAGACAGATGAGCGTTCGATCATTTATAAATCGACTCCAACCAAAGATATATTTCTCACCTAAGTTTTAATAGTATAATAATGTCGCAAAATTAAGCGGTCAGGTATGTGTGATGTGGAAGATTGACTCGTGAGTACCAATCATAAATGATAATATGGAATATCAATTTTTCAAAATAAAAAAGAAACAATCGGATAGTTATGCTAATGTCACTCTATAAGTCAATTCAACACAAATAAATAATTCCTTCTTTTTAAATGATCATTTAAACACCTGACATTTGCTGTTATCTTCTATTAAAAAACTATGTGAGTAACGATGAACATATAACTAAAATTAAAAAAAATACCAAAAATATCCCGAAATTGATGGATGGTTGATCGAGGTTGAGATCAATATTTATTTATTAATTTCCAATATTTCAAAATTCATTGAATTTCATCTTTAGGAAAATTGTATGATCACAACAAATAAACATTGCAACTTAATAATAAACATTACATTTTTTTTCTAATAAAAACATATAAATTATAAAAGCTGATCGCTTACATTTAAATCACAAACATAAAATAATGAACTCAAGCTCGATCAACCAACTATAATTTATTATGCATCTTATTAAAGACAAAAACACGTTAAAATTTACAACACATTTTTGAATCACTCAATCAGAAATCAATGAAGAAATTCCGAATATATCTGCACTCTTTGAAGAAAAAATTAATTTATAAGTAGAATTTATATGGAAACTATTGAACGAATTGTTTTATTAGAATAACTCGTTTTCATCGGATATATATTTAGAATGCCAGAAGTACGAGTAGTCGGCACTTTAAGGATTTTCGCATTTTAAACGTTTCAACATTCCAAGTGCATTTTTTCACTACAGTCGGATAAGCCAATACCGATTTATCGAAAAAATCGGTTAATTGAAACCAAAAAATACAAACTAATATTTCGGATGAATTTTCAAACATTTTATTTCGCTTAAATGAAAAACCGGTTAATTGAAAATCCGTATAAGAGAAAGACTTTTTCCTTGGAAAAACACAACACATTATTGTACCAGCGACGAAATTCATTAAATTTTTATTTGTGCAATTTCTAAAATCAATGTGCACATTTTTCCAACCAAAATGTCAACAAAATGTAAGTTCTTACTCAATTCATTTCATTATTTATTAATTTCACGTTTTTTCATATATTAATTGAAAACTTCGTTTAAGCGCAACGAGTTTCGCTTATCCGAAGTCCCTATAATTGAATATTCTGCATAAGAGAAAAAAAATTAAAGAACATACGCGTTTTCGCTTAACCTAATTGGACTGTATATTGTATTTAGGTGCATCTGTTTTGAATTAAATTTACTCCCCGATTCAATAAAAATTGTTGAATTAATTTTTATTAAAGTTGAGTAAATTGATAATTAGATAAAATAGTGCCTTTTTTCCAATTGTTGGCATGACATGATTCATCCGACTATAGAAAAACCTTAAAAATTGTTGTTCCCAAGGACGGCATCGATAAAAAATTTCATATTTATTTTTTAATAATTTTAAATTCTAATGTGTTCTCCTGTATGTTCATTGCAATTACGAATAAGATCTTTATGAAAAATATATAATTTTAATATAGTTACAAGTGTTTTAAAATCGACATGCCCACCAATTCTAAAGAAAGACCTCATTAACAAATTCAAAATTTTTTCTGAATAAATGTACTTAGCTCAATGAAATTTTACACAGACATAGGTTGCAATGTTATTAAAGATTATTCAATGTACTTTTCATATTTGATTTTTTAATTATTTGAAGTTTTATACAACTATGGTTACCATACGTTTTCTTTTTTAAAGGACAATCATCTATTTTAACTGGTTGTCATCTATAAAATGCATTTCCTATATCTATTTCTATAATCTGTCATCTTTGACATATATGTTTTTAAAACCTTGATCAATATTTATTTTTGGTAATTAAAAACAAATTAATAGTATTTTCCAACCGAATTATCTGTTATTTTATATTCTAAGTTCTAATGGGGTAATAAATTTCCATAAACAGTTATGAATTATTAAATGTTGGTATTTTTAGGGTTCCTGGACACGTTTTGCAACCGAATTGGCTGTAATTTGTATATTGGGTTCTATGTTTCTAGGTCCCCTAATATAAAAACCCACATTTTCATTTATTTTAAATTTATATAAATTTAAAGTTGAATGTTATGTACTATACCTTGTGGCCCATGGATTGTAAAATATCCTTGGAAAACATAGTCGACATAGGTTTACTTCTTTGTTATGTTCCTTATAGGGCCAAAAATTTGGCACGATCGTAATTAACGACCTTTAAATCCATTTTATATATTCATAAGTGAATCAAGATGTACATTTTATACACATACTATTATTTTTATTAAAAATATACTTTTTTCTTTTTGTCATCTATTTTCATTTTCAATATCTGGTCACCTAAATACAACAGATGACGACTATTTGCGCATGCCGGCATTAGGAGCACTTACCCTACTACTGTTCTGTTACAATACTGCAAGAATCGACTAGCCTTTACTATTTTTTCGTATTATAAGAAAAAATTGTTATTGTTGTTATTGCTGGTTCTGGAACACATTTCTAAAGAATTTCAATAGTATACTTTTTGTAAAATTATAGCATTGATAGTAAAATGTAACACCGTTCTAATAAACTAAAGTATGCAAATATTTGATTAGAATGAAATGGCGCCTACTATTGTATTAACTCACATTACGGCAGAATTTAGAAAATACAACAATAAATGGTATGCTCCCGTACTGCAAGAATCTACCACATTTTACTATTTTCTTCGATATCATAAAGGAAGATTTGTTATCGCAGTAAAAAGTAGTAGATTCTTGCAGTACGGGAACAGACCAAAAGCAAACAATTTTATGGAAATTTGTAATTTTGGTGTTCCAATCAAAGCGTGGTGGCGCAAAGTGAGTTAATGATAATAAAATTTTCTGGAGAAAGTTTTGTACAAATTAAAAACTTAGGCAGAGTGCCAAAAATTAAATAAAAACTATATGTTTCAAATTTTCATATTATTATATTTGTAAAAAGTATAAAAAATAAATACAGTGTTCTTTTTTAATATAAAAAAATAAATTTCAACTTTACATATGTGTGTATATATAAACAAGACAAATTAAATATTGTTAAATATACTAAATACTATTATTACACTGGATATATGGACAGTTTTTCCTCATTAATATCATATCTAATAGACCTATGAGGTCTAACATTGCACCCGTAAATTTCAGGTACGGAAGAAAAGTAGTTTTGCCACCACAATTTTATGCCATCATTGCCGATGGTCGTGTTTTAATGTAAACAAATGCAATTATTATCAATGCAAATACACCCAAAACCGGAAGAACCACGGTTTTCACTTGATTGTGTATGGCAACATTTTCCATTTTACGTTCCTTCTTTTGTTTGCGAGTTTCCTTTACTTTTCCCTTTAGTTGACGCATTGTTACTGATGCTGAAAAATAAGAGAACAAAAGCCATATGAAAATTGGAAAATTCGGATTGAAAATGTATTGGGGGAAACTTACAGTTATGTTAGTAATATTTAAAAAGAAGTATTAATAAAAAATAACGTCTTATTGTATAGAATGTTGTGGAAATATTAACTCCTATCTATCTCACTTGTTGATTTCTGTCAAAATGTTTGTGACGTGTTCTCTTTAAAGTTCAGAGCCGGTAAAATGTCTTTAAGTCGGCATTGATGGATGACTGCGTTATTTGGTTGAGTATTAAGCTCATTCAATATATTCAATAGGGTAGCAGTTGGTTGAACGTAAGTTTAAAGAATTTTTAAAAATTTTTAATTTAAAAATATACAAATATATATATTTTAGGTTTGCCTTTGTGAGAGTAAAAAACAAACAATAAAATTACAAAAAAAGCCAAAACATTTGGTATTACATTTGTTAAAAAATACATGTGTTGGACAATATATCCCTTGGTTTTTGCTGAGTACATTTTTCCATTAAAATTTTTAAATACTCAATAATAAAAAATTCAAAATAGTTCTCTCAATAGTTCACACTCTTTTAATGAAAATTTGTGTAAAAATACAACATTTTGTACCAATTGCTATATAAATATTTAAAACTTCATAAGAATCGATTAAGAAATGCTTAAATAACATATTTTGCCATTTTAAAAATTAATTTTTAGAATAAATGTATTTAAAGCTGTAAGTGCTGTAAAATCATAACTGCGATGCAATGACTCATATCAGGATTTTATTTCTAATGCCCTTTAACACCCTCAAAGTCTATAAACATTTGATTTTTTAAAAATTCTAAACAAGATTCCCCATTCTCAATGCATCCATAGCCTGACCCCAGCAGTAATTCTAAATCGAATAAGAATTCTAAGGAATTGATATTTTACCGTGAATTGTCATTGCCTATGTATTTGAACGACATCTGTATTCGCGTACAATGGAGATTTTGGGAAATGTATGAAATAGATGGCAGTATTGTCAAAATATAAAATTTTTGTTTTTATTTGCGAACACTAGATGGCATAATGCGAACTACTACTAAACAATAGAAGTTCGCGAAGTTAACAAAAGATGTCAGTAAATTCCCGAAATATAACGCTGTTTCAATTATAATTGTAGTTACGAATAGTAAAAAATCGGTTCACATGACGATTCTAATGAAATTTGAAAAACCATTTGGAGGAAAGGAAAGGTTTCATTACAACTTCGAAGATGTAGCTCATTTCGAAAGACAAATAAATAAAAAGATTATGTTATTTTAAATCCAAATCCATATATCTTCGGGGCCCATTTAACTGGTAATACTAGACATCACGTGTTGATAAACAATAAATTGAATATCCCTATTATATTTTGTTTTATATTTGTTCTGTTCCTTAACCAGCAAGAATGTACAACTTTTTACTGCGATAATTTTGTTTTCCTTTGCAGTAGGGGAACATACCAATTATGTTCTACTTTTTCAATTTGGAATAAAATAAAGAATTGGTCTAATAAAAAATTGCGTAAAATAATTACAGGCCTTTTCAAGAACGAAAATTAATAATTAGCATTTAGAAGTAGTAGTACAGATTTAGATGGAGCAGTACAGTTTGAAATTGAATTGAAATCGGTCTTTGTGGGCTTCATATTTCATTTTGCTTAATTAATTAACATTGTAATTATTTTTAGAAGATTTTTGGTTATTGTTGTTGTTTCAGCTCAGCTTACATTACAGATTGGGCTGTATAATCCGCTTTGTCTAAAACTCTTATATGTTTTTTGGCGCTTTTATTGATAATTATTAATCTGTCCAGGATAATAATATTTTTTTTACATTATGAAGACTCTACTTTCGAATATTTTCTTACTCAAAAAGTCCGAAAAATAATATAAATGAACAGTTGTTTCTCAACTTATTTCTTACATATCGTAGTTGGATTTAATCTATACTAATAAAAGAGTAAAGTGATTGACTGACTGATTTAACGATTCATCAACGCCCAGACGAAACGGCTGAAGCTAGAATCTTGAAATTTTGGATGAGGGTCACTCTTGGTCCAAATGTGAGAGATAAGGCTGGGTACGAAAAGTACTAAAACGTACTAAATGTGATGCCATTTGTATTTGGCGAACCGGCGGAGCTAGAACTCTGAAATTTGGTTTGGTGGTCGATGATGGAGTGTAGGATAGATGTACCAAAGGGTTTTTGGAAATTCGAACTATAACTATCCGAAAAGTACGTAAATGTACTAAATTTGGTACAATTCTGTAGCATGTGAACGGATAGAGCTAAAAACTTAGAATTTGAAATTCGTATTAGGTTTGGGAAGTAGGGTCGATATAAGGAGATGGTTTTGAAACCGTGTACTCATGTGTACGAAAAGTACTATATGGTACTATATTTGGTACAAATTTAATTTAGAGGTATAAATCAAGCTGGAATCCTGAAAATTGATATTAACATTATCGTCAGAGTATAGGATTGGGATATGTACGTAGTTTTAGAAATTTGTTACTTATGTGTACGAAAAGTACTAAATCGTACTATAATTGGTACAATTTGGATTTGGGTGGACCGATAGAGCGGGAACAATAAAATTTGGAGTCAGGATCACTGTATGGGTGTAGGATTGGGGTCATAACTCAGTTTAAGACATTATTACTCATGGGTACTAAATAGTACTAAATTTGGTACAATTTGAATTTTAGGTGAACCAATTGAGCTAGAATCATGAAATTTGGAGTCAGGATCATTGGTGAAGTGTAAGATTGAGATATGTAGGGAGTTTTAAAAATTGTGGGTGAACCGATGGAAATGTAATCCTGAAACTTGGATTTAGGATTACTGTGGGGGTGTTGGTTTGAGTTTTGTAGGAAGTTTTGGAAATTCGTACCACTGTGTACTAAATTTAGTACAATTTGAATTGTGGGTGAACCGATAGAGTTGGAATCCTGAAATTTAGATTTTGGAGCACAGTGGGGGTGTTGGTTTGGGTTAAGTTGGAAGTTTTTGAAATTGGTACTAAATTGTACTAAATTTGGTACAATTTGAATTTTATGTGAACCATTTGTTGAGGTGTAAGATTGAGATATGTAGGGAGTTTTAAAAATTTGTACTAATATGTACTAAATTCGGTACAATTTAAATTGTGGGTGAACCGATGGAATTGGAATCCTGAAACTTGGATTTAGGATCACTGTGGGGTTGTAAGGTTGGGGTATGTAGGAAGTTTTAGAAATTTGAACTAAGTGTACTAAATTTGGTACAATTTATATTGTGTGTGAACCGAAAGAGTTGAAATCCTGAAATTTTGATTTAGGAACCATGTAGGAAGATCTGGAAATTGGTACTACTATGTACTAAATTTAGTACAATTTGAATTGTGGGTGAACCGATAGAATTATAATTCTAAAACTTGAATTTAGAATCAGTATGTATGCTAAACTTGGTACAATTTGGATTGTGGGTGAACCGATAGAGTTTTAATCCTTAAACTTGGATTTTGGATCACTGTGGGGGTGTTCGTTTAGGGTAAAAAGGGGATTCTGGAAATTCGTACTACTTTGTACTAAATTTGGTACAATTTGAATTGTGGGTGAACTGATAGAGTTTGAATCCTGAAACATAGATTTAGGATCACTGTGGGGGTGTTGGTTTGCGGTAAGAAGGAGGTTCTGGAAATTCGTACTACTTTCTACTAAATTTGGTACAATTGTAGGAAGTTTTGGGAATTGCCACAGCTATGTACTAAATTTGGTACAATTTGAATTGTGGGTGAACCGATAGATTTAGAATCCTAAAACTTGGATTTAGAATCACTGTGGAGGTGTAGGATTGGTGTATGTGGGAAGTTTTGGAAATTGGTACTACTGTGTACTAAATTTTGTACAATTTGGATTGTGGGTAAACCGATAGCGTTGGAATCCTGAAACTTGGATTTAGGATCAATGTGGGGGTGTTGGTTTGGGGTAAAAAAGAGGTTTTGGAAATTCGTACTACTGTGTACTAAATTTTGTACAATTTAAATTGTGGGTGAACCAATATAGTTCGAATCCTGAAATTTGAATTTGGAATCATTGTGGGGAAGTAGGATCGGGATATGCATGAAGTTTTGTTGGATCGAAACTTATGGAAATAATGTGTGCTAAATGGAAAATGAAATTTGGTACTAAATGGTACTCAAATTTAATTTATGGTCGATATTAATGTGTGAATTGGATTTTCTGACATATGCAGTTTGCTGTGAAAATAAAATAATATGTTAATGCATGTTTAAATATTTCCTACATTCGCTAACGAAGTTGCGGGCATATGCTAGTTCTATTATATTTTTCTTAATTTTCAAATGAGTTGTGTATATTAGAAGTTTAGTATTTGAAAGAAGTTGCAATTTCTAATTTGTAGATTTGTATACATCTACTAATTAAAAGTAGTGCAATAGTTTCTCGCCCTTCTAGTTTCCCCAGTTAGTAAAAATACAACACATACGTTTTCAGAAAAGTAAAAACTTTTTTTACAATTATTGCCTAAATATTAAACAAATGTATGCGTGTATGTAAATCTAAAAATTATATTACAACTAACTATAACAATTCATTCACAAATTATTAGCCATCTATTTAACATTGTCCAAAAAGTCTTTTGCTTCGTTGATTTTAGCTGCCAAATAAGGGGAACCACCACGATCAGGATGATTCAACAACATGATTTTCTTGTGGGCATCCTTAATCTGGAAATGAACACACATTTATATTAATATCTCAAATACATAGTCGCTATCACATTCTACTTACTTTCGATTTTGAAGCACTTGGACTAACACCCAATATCAGAGAAGCTTCTCTCTTATTCATTTTTGGATCAAAACCACCTTTATAGTATTTCGAATTGGCCAATGATTCTGCATCGAATTTGGGTAGATTTTTCATTGCCTCGTTGAATTTGGTGGTCATTGCTGGCATGCGGCGCATTAAGTGTTTGCCAGCAAAACCGACAGCGGCAACCCCCAAACCGGTTAATATTATAGATGATGCCTAAAATCGATTAAGAAAATTAGTTCTTATTCAACAATAATTAATGTACTTATTTTTACTTACCATTTCTAGTTTAATTTACGTAATTATTGTTGTGAAAATGTAATGAGAATGTCGTTCGGGAATGATCTGATTCAAAAGAATCGTTCATTAAATGAAACTGGTTCTAGTTCACCAAAACAAATGCTTCTTCTTTTACAATATAAATTGTATGCCAATTAAATTGATATCATAACACTTATTGTTCACATTTACGCTATCATCGTACTTTAAATTAATCCTCATTGCATAATTATGGAAGGTAGTCTCATTTGAGAAATGGATAATCAGCAACCCTTCTTAATATGGAATTCATATATCAATTTGTCCCAATTTAGATTAGGCGAGTTTAATTGCGGCAAGTCTTTGGTTGCCGGAGAGAGGGGCAAGGGAAGAGAAATGGAAAAAATTGCTCGTACCGACAACTTTCTGGCAATTCGTTTTGTGTATTTTGTTTGTAGTGTCAGTCTGCTTTTCCACAGGCAGATTTTTATTTGGCAAATTTTTTGTTTTCTTTTTTGAAATTTTCGCTTGCTTTTCCATTAGCAAATTTTTCTATGCCAAATTTGCGAATCAAAATACAAAAGAAAGAAAAAAAAAAACGTCAAAAGTGATTTTTTTAATATTTTATTTATTTTTTACATATTTTAATTAAAATAAAATTTAATTAAAATAAAAATAAAATTAAAAAATAAATTTCACTTGCACAAATAAAAGCAACAGGTTCGTAAACAAAAGCCGGCTGTGTGTCAGTAAAGCGAATAGGTTCAAAAGAAAATGTCAACAAAATTGTTTTCAACGAACAGAGCAAAGCAGAATTTGCGTGTACGGCAAATTCTGAACAGGCAATTTTTTGTTTTTCTTCCTCGCACCCCTCTCGCCTACAAACTCAGTATTTGCCAAATAAAAATTTGCCTGTGGAAAAGCAGACTCAGTAATTTGAAGTACCAATCCAGAACATTTTCGAACAGAAAAAAATTCACAAAATGTAAAAAAAAAAATATAGTTTTGAAACCGAATTGCCTTGTATAGACGCATGAAGCAAGTTTAAAAGAGAACGATAAAAATTGCCGCAAATAAACTCTCCTAATCTAAATCAGGGCATAACTTTTGAGGTGAATAAAATCGTACGCACACGCATGAATTTAGAATTTAGGTACGACGCAAGGTAAATTTACAAGGTAGCCGCATAGGCGAATTTTTAAACAAACATCGGTTGTTGTATTTTGATATATCAAAAATAATTTGCCAAAACAAACAGATTCACAAGATTTTTTTACACAAATTCTTGTAGAAAATGTTAATAAATGTATTGCCAAATAAGCTCTTCCAAATTAGGAGATTTTCATTTATAATTTTGTTTTTTTTATTTTTTGCTTCAACACATGGTATAATAATAAAAGGTAACAGCAAGTGTTGTTGTACAAAAAACGATACAACAACCACATGGAAATTTGTTGTTGTAAGTTCTACTAGTGTCAACTCATTTGACAGAAAAATGTAAACAAACAAACAAACAAATTATCATCAAATTATTTTTGTTTTGAAAATGAAATATTTTCGAATCCTCAAAATAAAAATTGAAAAACATGAATGAAAATCTATCAAATTTATGTCAAATTCATATTGACACTAGTATTACGTTGGAATCAAATCAGCTGGGATTTGCTGTTACCTTTTATAATTGTACCATGGCTTCAACATTACAACCAGTGTTGCCGAAAGTAAGCATTTATGCTCAAGAGTGTGCATAAAAAATGTAAAATTTAGGACTTGGGCGGATTCTGGGCATTATTTGTTTTTTTTTTTTTTGCTTCTGGCAAAAAATGAGGTGAGCAATATTATAGCCCATGGTCCAATTAACAGGTCGTGTTAGAGGCGAAATGATTTCACCCGAACTGTCAAAATTTGACTTAATCTTGTGAAAACGTAAACAAAAACTTTGACAGTTTGAGGGATTTTCTACCAAAATGGCGCATAATATTCACATCTTACACGACCTGTTAATTAGCCCAAGAGTTTGTAAATCAGCAAACTATTGTTCGAAGACTGCTTATATTTTCGACTAGCTGAGTGGATTTTGACATGTTTAAACACATGTTAAATTTTACACGAGGGACGGGATTTGCACAGAAAAAAGCATAGTTAAGTATGAATATGATTTAATATTTGGCGGATCAAGTGGACTCAGACTTTTGTGTGAAAAATTACAAAATTTATTCCAGAAAAAGAAAAGAAGGAAGGTCACAGTTTATCCAAGAACAGTGATTGATCTTTAAATTTACGCAAAGAATATATATAAAGTCCAACTTTTCCTACTAACAAATATCGAGTGAAACCTATAGTTTTCTGTAGTGATCCATCTTTAAACCATGTAATTTAACCGGGAAGTGGATCTGCGCAACGAAGAACATGTAATTCTTTGGTGGACATATAAAGTATATGTTTTTATCAAAAATTCATGGCATAACTATACAAGGTAGTCTCATGCAGTCATATGTTTCCAATTTGTTCATAAATTTGCTTTTGACAAAATTCTGCTTTCAAAATTTAAACGAAATGTTTGAATCATTTATATTTATTAATAGTTTTAAGTTCCCTGCCTATAAAACCTATAAATATAAATTGCAACATTCTTAGTTAAATCTTGAGGACAATGTGAAGCTTTGGAAAAAATATTTTTTTATTTGTTGAAAATTTGCCAATCGCCATTCGTTACATTTTATGGAATTTATTTTTCATTTGATATTGATATATGAATTCCATATTAAGAAATTTTGCCATATTCGGATTTAATGCAGGTTTGGTTAAATATTGAGATGGCCATTCAATGTATCAAATCAATATTTAAAAAAAATTTGAATGAAAGGAATGACACGTGCGTCCCCTATATTCGAACTTGATCAATGAACAAAGTTTGAATCAGACATTCCATTCAACTGACATTGAGGATTCTGGTACTTCCACACTTTGGGGGGAGGTACCAGAAGGAGTGGTTCTATATTCTCCATCTCTCAACTTGATTTCAGTTCGGAAGAAACATATGATGTGCTAAGTTTGGATAAAATAGGTTACTTCCTTCGAAAGCTATCGTGCGCATCAGTCATTCAGAGAGTTAGACTGTAATTTGTAAATGGACTCCAAATTGTCCAATCGGATTTTGACTAAAGACACATGGTCTAAACGGATATTTCGATGATAGAAATTTTGCTGTAGCAAAGTCTGATTTTCCACAGGCAAATTTTTATTTGGCAAATACTGAGTTTGTAGGCGAGAGGGGTGCGAAGAAGAAAAACAAAAATTTGCCTGTTCAGAATTTGCGTACACGCAAATTCTGCTTTGCTCTGTTCGTTGAAAACAATTTTGTTGACATTTCCTTTTGAACCTATTCGCTTTACTGACACACAGCCGGCTTTTGTTTACAAACCTGTTGCTTTAATTTGTGCAAGTGGAATTTAATTTTTAATTTTTGCAATTTATATAACAAAATATATTAAAAAAAAAAAATAAATAAAATATTAAAAAAATCTTTAAACCACTATTAACTTTTATTTTCTTTCATTTGTATTTTGATTCGCAAATTTGGCAAAGAAACATTTGCTAATGGAAAAGCAAGCAAAAATTTCAAAAGAGAAAACAAAAAATTTGCGAAATAAAAATCTGCCTGTGGAAAAGCAGACAAAGTACAATTATTCAAAACAAAGATATTAAAAAAAATATTTAAAAATAAAAATCAATTTTTTGCATCGTAAAATTCATGCTGCTTTGTCTGCTTTTCCACAGGCAAATTTTTATTTGGCAAATACTGAGTTTGTAGGCGAGAGAGGTGCGAGGAAGAAAAACAAAAATTTGCCTGTTCAGAATTTGCCGTACACGCAAATTCAGCTTTGCTCTGTTCGTTGAAAACAATTTTGTTGACATTTTCTTTTGAACCTATTCGCTTTACTGACACACAGCCGGCTTTTGTTTACAAACCTGTTGCTTTAATTTGTGCATGTGAAATTTAATTTTTATTTTTGCAATTTATAAAAAATAAATAAAATATTAAAAAAAATCTTTAAAATGCAAACACTTTTGACTTTTATTTTCTTTCTTTTGTATTTTGATTCGCAAATTTGGCAAAGAAAAATTTGCTAATGGAAAAGCAAGCGAAAATTTCAAAAGAGAAAACAAAAAATTTGCCAAATAAAAATCTGCCTGTGGAAAAGCAGACTTTAGAGAAAAATGATCCTCACTTTTAATATTTAAGGACAGTGTATAATTTTTCAACTCTTGAATTTTTTGGCACTTTTTAGGGGACATTTTGGGCGAAAACAATTTTTCAAACGGCAACGCTGATTACAACATTATTTGAACCAACAGCTGGGCCGATGCGGCAACCTTATTAAATATACCTGGTACGATGCTTAAGCTTACAACCGTTAATTCAGTCATGGATTTTGTGCTTTTTTAATATCAAATACAAATTTTCTGAAAATAATATCCGAAATGTTTCCTTTACATTGTAATAAATGTTTTTGCATTCGTAAATCGGCATCCGCTCGTACATTTTATATTTCACGCTGTGGTCACATTATCTGCCAACAGTGTTTGCAACCAGCGTGTAGTGTTTGTTCGAAACCTTACAATGCTATACCGATTCAAAAGCAAATGCCACCATCAATGAGTGAATATTTTGAGGATCCAATCAAGGCATATCGCCGATATCAGAAGATTGTAAAATTTCATTTCGACCAAGAACGCAGTATTGGTATCCACTTGTACAGGTCAAATGAGGCGGCTATTAGAAAACTCACCGCCGAACTACAGGGATTTAATGAACTGAAACGAAAACTGATACAAACCAAAGAAAAGGAACGTGAACGCATTAGAAAATTAAAGGAATATGTTGCCTATCATGAGCGACGACAGGAACAGCCAAAATATATGAAACCACCTGTTGCGGTCCATCCAAAATATCGTTATGCGGCTAGTAAAGCTCATAGTAATATATCAGATACCAGTACGGACATATCAGTGGATTGTACACCAAAGCTGACACAAACTATCCGAGCTCATTATGCACCGCCACGCACTCCCACTTTGAGTAATGACAACAGTTCAGAAAGTGAAAAACTGTCTAGCCAGACGTCTAGCAGAAGGTTACGCGTACCACCGCCATTATTACCATGTTCTCCTTATAAGAAAAGAGCTAAATCTCCTAAACGAAAATATTATTAAATAACTTTTGTTTCAATAATATTAAATGAATACGATTACTAAATGTGTTTCTATAAACTAAACAGTATAGATGGGCGTAACTGAACGAACATACGGCACCCTACAGCTGCGGAAAGTAAACGTGATTTTTTTTAAAGAATTTGTAATGTCAGCTTTGATTTATCTATGAACATTTTCTCAAAGACAATAAAAAATGAATTTAAAAAATATATATCAAAAACTATAAACCATGTGTATTTTTTTTAATATTATTTTTTGAAGGTTCAGCCAAAAGCGTTAATTTTTTTGATATTATTTGTTAATGGTATATTTATCATTTTTTTACAAATCTTCCGATAGTACCATCCATAGGTACAATTACATTTTTAAGGATGTTTTATTTTCAAGTTTGGTTGATGGTATGTCAATTCAATTTAAAAATTATAATCTATGGAATTTCTTTTCTAGGTCTATGAATATGGATATTTTTAAGAATATTAAGGGCTATCAAGATTTAACGTCAATAACCCCTTCATATCTGCTTCAGACAAACAATCGCTTCATCTGAACTCCGAAGGATTTTTGTAGCCAGAGGACAGTCGGTTGAGTCTGAGAGATGAAAGTTAAAATATATCACACGTACCGAATTATCATTTTATCCTACTATCAGGAAGCACAGGAAACCTTGACGGTTTGGAGACTTAAATGACTCCCAGTACTGTTTCCACCGCTGGGTTGTCAAACATGTGTAGTGAGTAGGTTCTATTGTGTAAGATTTTTATTTTAGTATTTACCAGGTTTATTACCGACATTGGTTCCGTGGCATCGACTCTGATATTTTTCAAACCAAGTGATGCTTTTGGCTCTTATATTTTTTTCAGAAAATCTTCTTCAAATAGTCATGTGTATCAATTAAACGCGTTGTTTTGTCGCTGAACCACATTCCACCGAACCGATTAGAGCAGGTCGTTTGCGTTAGGTAGATCTAAAAAATAAGGCAGTTAAAAATGATTATTTAAAAGCCCGTAACTTCGTTTCTTTTTTATTTTGCGACATTTGATCCGACATTTCGTCACACAAGGTATATACAGTGTTATGTTAAAAAATACACGCGCTTTTTACTCATATATCTCACCAGAAAGGGTTCATTAAAAATGTTCTTTAAAATAAGAATCCCCTTAAATTGGTTTTTCCCTGGAAAAACATTTTATTCGAAAATCCATTCTTTAGTAATCCTTAAAATTGTTTTTATTATTTGTTTTAGATGGGAGGCCTCTCAACCCTCAACGCGAACATTCTGTTTAGCCCTAAGTGTTTACTCTAACAGTGAAGTCGACTGGAAATATAAAATTTATTTTTCCCGATTTGTGTGTTCGTTTGTGTTTCTAGAGTAGCAAATGGTTTTCGATGTTGTTGTACTGATCTGGTCATATTAAAAATTTACTTTATACAATATTAAAAGTAGTTTGATTATTTAATATTTCACAAGAGGTCAAAAAGACTGTTTAGGCAATATAGGTATAGCACACGTGAATACGGGGAATGAAAGAGGGGAGGAAGCAGCTACGGTCAAAATGACCACCTTCGGCAATCTAGTATTAATTAAAGTTTTTTATGTTATAAAACTAACAAATAACATGAATTTAAACTAAAAAAACAAAAAAAAAGTATTTCGTGCAAAAAAATAAGCTCAATTTGGATTGAATTTTTTGAAAAGAAAATAATAATATATTTTTAAAATTACAATTATTAAAAGTTGTTAATTTAGTATTATTTTAGGTATGTAACAAAAATTAAATTTTTCTCCAAAACTTAAAAATACAAATATAAAAACAAAAAACAAATTCACTTAACACAATTTGAGCATAAATTTACATCTAGATTTTAATAAATTAAATTAAAAACCTATTGAAACAAAAAAACTACTGGAAAATATTGGAAATTTTATTACAAATAAATACACTATAATTACAAATTAGTTTTAAAACATTTTATAACACTTAACATGTTAAAAGGCAAAATTTATTACATATAATATAGTCGAGTTGTGATTAAATTAAAATAAAAAACTACAACATGGATTTTTTAAAACTAGTCTTCTAAAAACCCAAATGTGTACATTGGAAAGTAACGGATCTGATGTGGAATCAAAATGGAATTTTTATACTGCTAAATTTAATCGTTTAATTGCTATCGATTTTTTTGCAAATTCCATATACTCCACAAAAATTTTTAATTGCAAATATCTTCGTATTTGACCTGTGACTTTTCATGTTATTTATTTAAAACTATTGAAACTTTCTCATCTAATCAGTTTACTTCTATTTTCTATTCTCGCTAACGTAAAAAATGCAAATCAATTATTAATTTCGTACAAGGAAAACAAATGCATTTCCTATAACAAAAATATTAAAATAAACGAAGAAGAAATAATGTGCTATTCAATTTTCATTTTATTAGATACTTAATTCTTTTACAAAAAAAAAAATTGTATGTACAATACAATACATAAATTATTAAATAATTCAAAAAATAAATGAGGTCAAATATATATTAATACCTTTTTACAATATATATTAATACCTTTTTATTTACTAAAACAGATACCACATAGTGGTATGGAGGATATTTCTTTCATTTTTATACTAAAGTATAGTTTTTACTGGAATTCATTTTCTATCTTAATAATGTTTTGATCTTTTAAATTGGTATGTGCTTCTGCCTGATGGGCTCTTAATTTTGTAATATTCTTAAATTGCATTGAACAAATAAAGCATGTATTGTTTGCATGTGATGCTAAATGCGTCCGTAAATCAGTGCGACCTCTAAATCCTCTATCACATATCGTACATTTAAATTTACGCTTTGCTTCATGCCGGTGCATATGTTTTCGTAATGCACCCAATGTTTTGGCAGACTTTCCACATTCATTGCAAATTAGTTTTTCTTGATCCTCATTTGCCTTTTCAGCTATGTTTTTATTATTTTTATCCGAATGCCAATAATCCATATGTCGCTTCAAACGAAGTCTAGTCATATTAACATGACCACATATTTTACATTTAAAGCTATTAGGATCTTCATGGTAACGTAAATGTTCCTCGATATAATAGTGCGAGTTCAATTTACACTGGCAACAGATTATGTGGCATTTTACATTAGGATGGGTGTCATAAAAATGTTTTTGCAAAAGTGTAAATGTTGGACGCATCGCACCACAAACTAAACACTCCAAATTGGGTCTCCATTTGGCAATGATAGCATCAAGTTCTGAAATAGTTTTTCTTCTATCATCAGCTATTTTCAAAGGATCATAATCACTATCATCATCTTCCATCGAAGAATCAATGTTATTATTGTGCTCAGATGCATTTTCCGCATGTACATCGTATAATTGTAATTCGGGTTCTTCTTTTATTATCACATTGTGTTGTACAATGGTGTGTTGTTTGTACTCTCCAGATTCTTCACATTTTGTGGAAATTATATAATTATTTAGGCAATTTGTTTCCGTTTCTTCTTTTACTTCATAAATATTCTCCTGTTTGATATGTTGATTCGAATCTACACTTATCTCAACAGCATCATATTCTATTTCATTTTTAATAAATTTGTTTTGTGCTTCGTATGCATCCTCCTGGAATTTGTAAAAATTATAGATTCGAGTCCAGCATTTAACACAAAGTTTTCTTATTTTTAAGCCATCGTTCATAATCTGAAATCAAAAAATTTAATTATTAATGGATTTAATTCTAAGAATTAATAACAAACTTACCACTGATCCGAAATATTTTATTACAACTTTCCTAGTCAACGTATCATCGTTTATTTCTACCTTTCGGTTACAAAAGGAATTGCATATTGGACAGAAAACTTGTTGATAATTTCCACTTTGGATTTCCTTTTCCATATGTTGTTTTTGGAGAACATTTGATGTTTGCCGAAATTTATCAAAGTCATTCATACGATACCAACATTTCAAACATATTGTACCAATCTGGTAATTGGAATTGAGGAACTATGGGGTAAATAAAAAATATGTAGAAATTAATTTTAATATAAAAAAAACTAGCAAACTTTTATTTTTGGTACAAAATTAAAATATATATCCCACAGTGAAAAATATTTTTTATTATCAAAGTAGTATTGTATGAAGAATAAAAATTTTTGTAATTTTTGAATTTTTGTCAGTTTGTGAAAAATATAAAATATTCTTTAAATACTACAAGATAAAAATGGAAAAAAAAATTAAATGTATACGGAATGTTTACGTAAATGGTGGTCAATCGGAATTATCTGGATGAGCCAAATACTTCGTGGATAAGAAACAAATTTAAATCCAACAAAATAACTAATCGAAATATGTACCCTGAAATAGTCCATATTAAAAACGCTTAATAATTGATACTTTTGGAACTACGCAATGAAACTAAAAATCTATACCTTCTCAATAAAGGTGAGTGTTTCAATAAAATAAACATAATATATTTAAGCTTACCATGGGGTCAAAATATTTGGTTGTAACTTCGTATACTTCAATATCGTCGTAAAGATTCTTGTAGCCACTACCAATGCATAGATTTGCACATAATCGACAAAGTATATCCGCCATTATGACGATCGTTTGAACCTTTAAAATAACAAATATCCACATTTAATAAATGAATAAATAAAATCCGATTTTAACTCACCTTTAATGGCACTTAATCCTTGAGGAGTATTTGCATAGCAAAGTGTTTCCGAATTTTATTCCTTGCAGGTGTAATAATGTTTGCTTCAAATCCAAAAGAAACAAGTTGCTTCTATTTAGTGTTTCATTATTGTTTTGAAATGTATACGATATTCGCACAACAGTGCATAATATTGAATTTTCAATTATATAGTGAAGGCTAAAGGTTTCAAAAATTGCTTTAATAATTTAGTTTTAAAGATTTCTTTAACAATTTGTGTCCAAGGTCCTTGTTTGTGTTGTCCCGGAACTAAATAGTTCATAAACCTATTCACTGTAAAGAGCTATGAGAACTAGATACGTTTTCATGTAGATCCTTTAATGCCAGGTTCTGACGACATTTGAACGTTGTTCGCCCTCAGAATTACGTACATGAATTAACCCGTTCATATAGGGTTATCCATTTCGTCGACATATTTTTCTTTTCAGTTGATATTGACGAAAATGGATCACTGACAACGTATAACAATTATCAAAACCTATTACAAAAATGTCGATTCTGTCACAGCCACAAATCATTTTTAATTTTTTAATTCAATTTTATTTAAGAACTACCTAAAAAATATCGTGCTATAAAAGTAGGTTATGGTTTACATATGGTCTGTTCCCGTATTGCAAGAAATCTACTACGTTTTACTAGGATAACAAATTTTCTTTTATGTCGATATCATAAAAAATAGTAAAAACTAGTAGATTCTTGCAGTACGGGGACAGACCAATAGTCATGAAGAAATTTGAGCAGAATGGAGCCTGTGCATCATCGCTTCGCACGTTCCGCTTAAAAAATCGGTGCTGTAAGTCAAGCCACTGTTTGGAGCGTTATGGTTGTTTGCCTGCTTTTGAAGATTACGACTTGGAGAATATGTGGTTCCATAAGGCGACCAGATTTTGATAATGAAAATATAACAAAAAGAAACAAGTATATTTTTAACAGAAATAATAGTATGTGTATAAAACGTACATTTGGATTTAGTTATAAATATATAAAATTACATAAAAAGTCGTTAATTACGACCGTGCCAAAGGATATTTTGCAACCCATATATAAAATAACAGATAATTCAGTTGGAAAATGTGTCTAGAAATCCTGAAAATACCTTCACTTCACTGAAATTTCATAAAATATATTAAATTATGAAACCAACATTTTTTAAGTTATGGCTAAGATACCGCCCAATATGTGTCAAAAGGTGGTCGAAAATGACATCAACAGAACCAATGCAAAAGATACCACTCAATATGTGTCAAAAGGTGGTCGAAATGACATCAACAGAATCAATGCTTGCAATATGTGGAAGATATTTAAATTGTGCCTTTAGTTATTGACAAAATGTATCTAATAGTTCTTAGTTATGTAGTAGTTATGTACTATTACGTAGTTATGTACCATTATTCGAACAAATGTACTATTAAGGGGACCCCCCCATTCTCGGGGTCAAAATTTTTTTAGATTTAATTCTAATCTACACTAATTCAAGAATGTCCCTAAAAAATTGCAAGTAAAAATCTCAAACTTTAAACGCGTATTTCTCTTTTGCGAATGGCGGGCACGATAACTCAAAAACTAATAACCCAATCGATTCCAAATTTTTACACGTTTCTCTGTGAGTGTATTGCTATCGTATGAACTAGGATAAAGCCAATCGGTGAAGATCTTCCTTATTTTTTAACACGGTTTTTAGTCAAAAATCGGCAATTTTCCAAAAATATTTTTTCAAAGGTCCGCCATTTTGTTAATTTTAGAGCGACGTCAATAATCCTAGTTCATACGAGAGCCAGACATGTACTCTTTCTAACACCGTTGGAATTTTCGGATTCCGATGTTCCAGTGAGGAGTTATCATGCTCGCCATCAAAAATAAGGAATTTTCTTTAATTACAAAAAACAACAACAAAACAATAAATTATTTTTCTTTTCTTTTAAATCTTCAAATATATATGTGCAAAGTTACAAACCTGAACAAGCATTGGTATTGATTTACCAGCCCATTGAAAATATTGAAAAATTAAAATCAAGAATGGGTGGGGTTCCCTTAAGAGTTTATTTACTAACAAATTTCAATGTTAATCGGTATATTGTTATATTTAAAAAGGCTTTTTATATGCCTCTGTTAATTTTTCTTATCAAATCAGGTATCAGGTTTCCTTCTCAATAGTGCATTAAAATAAATTATAAACATTTTTAATATCATGCTAAAAAAAATAAGCACACTAATTAAGATGCCTATCTAAGAACGTGGTCCTGTATTGTGAATTGTCAGGCAGGAATTTTTTTTTATTAATTTAGAAAACGATATGCTAATATGCAGATAGTTAGGTTTAAAATTCAGCTAGGATTTGCAACATCCAAAACTAAGGTGTGACTTTTAAATTGCGGTTATGTCAAAACATAGACCCATATTTAAAATGTTCTGCGAAGAAGTTTGTCATCCAAATTTCGAAACTACCGGAACTCTCGAATGTGTAAATAACGTAATATAGTAAATTTTTAATACCAAATATGCAAGGAGTAATATACATTTTTTTAAAGGATTTTTATAAAGGAGCAATTGCTATCGTAGTAAAAAGCTGTGCATTCTTGCAGTTTCTGCAATAGACATTAGCGAATTTCGAAGATCTATCTAAAATATTGTGTCATTTTAATAGACAGGTGTATATGACTTTATCGACAAAGCATTTTATTGTGATGAGAATATATATTATTTTTATATGGTCTCCGACAAATATATCAACAGTTCCGTTTGTCTTTTTTACTCGAAAACCGTTCCTTTGCCCCCAAAACTAGTAAAACTTTCAAACAAATATAAAAGAATATGGAGTTCTTTTTCTAGATTTTCTACCCAAGAAATTTGGCCGAGTAAAAATGGTAACTTTTGTTGACATTTTTTTTAATTTTCCGTTCGTATTATTCTGTACTCTGACATCGATTTAGACATTTTCCTTTTACTAGATTTAAACAATTTTAGTTTTATTTCCGGATTCATTAAGTCCAAATGTAAATATTAGTCGTCTTGAAGTACTTCTACTTCAATTATTATGATAATCTGGGCTATCATGATCTATATGACGTACATTGTATAAAATACACAACAAAACGAGATCTAATATAAACATAGCATTACCACCAGTCCGTTGTACAATAAAAAGTATTTCCAAGACGCCGTCATATTATTTCATTCAAACGACACTGAAAACACACAAAAGTGGTTGTAATGCAGTCAACCTCTGAGTAGCATCAACTCGATTCACTGTTTAGAAAATTTTGGATTTGGTATGAAAAACCAAAGAAATTCGAAAGTCGATCTTGAAAAGTCGACTTTGCGATTTCCTCAAAGATCAAAAGTCGACTTCGACTATTTGGCTTTTCAATACAAAAATAAAATCGATTAATCGATTAGTCGAAAGTCGATTTACTTATCCCTATTCGACCCCAAAATATTAACACTGATAGGCAAATAATGCAAATAGTGAAAAGTTCTTGAATTATTTAACAATTCGAAGAAACGAAGTTAATAAAAATCGGAAATCTCCGCCTAAAAGTGATACGAATATCGAATAACAAGTTTGCACCCATAGAAATATATAAAAAAAAAGAAAATCTCTTGTAAAGAAAAAAGGAATCAAACGAAACGAAAGAAAAAAATTATTCTTGTTCTTGTTTTGTAACAAGCTGGAAGCAGCACGATGTGGTGGTATGTTTGAGTTTGATATCCACCATTTGTTGGCTGGATGCCAATTGGCCTCGTTTTTATCACAAGAAATTGCAATGTGTGTGCGAGATTTGCTTGCTGATGTTGTTGTTTTTCTCGTACATATTTTCACTTCTTTTGGTCACCTCTTCGTCGTCACCATCAGCATAGTTGTTGTGAATGGGCTTTGCATTTTTGCTGCCACAACTA